AACCTTTGTGGTCTTCACCTCCAACCCATAACCTTAGCCTAACTGTGAGAAAAATGTCAGCCACACCCAAAATGAAGAATTGGCTACCAGATACCTGAGCAGTACTCCACAAAACCATCGAGGCCATCAAACCAGGAAGTAGAATGTTGGCATATGTAACAAGCTATCAGCTCTCATAGCTCAAGTCTAAACACAAAATTCATCGATGTTTCTTATTCACTTTAGACACAGAGCCTGAAGGTAATTTCATATAATATTTTTAGCATGCCTGTGTTTTGACTGCAACCCATCATATGAGGTCAAGATGAGACTTTCCCTCTTGTGACATTATATGGGCACTAGTTTGGGGTTTTGGAATATTTCAGATTTCAGAGTTTTGCATTAGGGCTGTTTAACTTGTAATTAAAAAGAACAGAGGGCTAGGATTTCCATCTGGGCAGGTTGCTAGGAGGTTCAACATGCAGAGGGATCTGAGGTGTGTGAGCCCTAATGGCAGTTAGTGTCCCTGCTATTGTGTGAGCACATGTGAGTTACTACCCCAGGATCCTGCTCATTGAGCTCTGTGGGGAGGAGCATCCCTAGGAGAGAGGGAACGTGCAGCTTCCAGAGACCATCCTCAGAGGGCTCTCCTGCCCCTACTCTGCCAATGAAAGGCTATTCTTGGCTTGGCCTAGGCTGCCGGCTGCCTTCATGTGCTCCCTGGGACCTGCTTGTCCACTTCAGGCCCAGCCTGAAGCCCAGCATTCCCATCTTAGGCACTGAATATGCCCCTTCCTTGCTCAGGAAAACAGATGTGGAGCTCCCACACAGGGAGCTTCAGTGCAGGACTCGGGGTGGGTGGGGAACCACAGGGATCTAGGGAGATTCTAGTGTCTAGTGATTTATTGATTGATTTGACAAGATCTTGCTAAGCTGCACAGGCTGGATTTAGACTTACTGCCTCAGCCTCCCATGGTTCTGGCATTATAGATGGATAGCACCATGTCCAGCTCAGAGGAGCTTGTTTGTAAATGTATTTGACATTAAGCAAGAGTTGGAAGCAGGTTGCAAAAAACCCAAAGGCATCAGAGTCCAGTCTTCCTTCTGCCTCTGTGTAGTCTTTTCCTTTCTCACCCCACCCCAGGCTTTGAAAGCATCATGCATCTTCTCTCCACTTTTGCCTCTCTGTAGTCCCCCATGGAGCATAAGGTTCACTTGAGGGTGAGGATCTTTCTGTCTCCACCCTCACTGGGGAGCCACAATTCTAAAGTGAGGACAAGGAGATGGAGCTTGAAGAGCACAGTGTGCTGCTGGGGCTGGATGGGAGCTCAGGATCAGGGCTGTTCTGCAGCCCCAGGCCCAGAAGCTCAGTTTATATCTGCTTCCTGCTGAGGCCACAGTCAGCGGAGGCAGGCTGTGGTCCAGACCAAGGACCTACCTCCCTTTTCTGAGCTCTTCATCTTCTATTTCAGGTGAGAGAGAGCCCAGCCCAGCCACGCTGGTCCAGAACCTGGCTCTGAACCACAGCTCAGTATAAGTAGAGGCCATAGAGTCGCAGAGATCTGAGATCAAATTCTCACCTTCCCACTTCCAAACTGGAGGACTTTGGGACAATCACTTAACCCCTTGAACCTCAGATTTCTCATCTACAAGATGGGAGTAATAATTCTTTCCATAAGGCGATCTTGAGGTTGTATGCAAAGCCCGTGACAGTACCTGGCACATAGTAGGCTTTCAAGAGAAGCAGCCTGTACTCTCAGCCTCAACTTTCAACCCATCCTCTTCCCCTGTCTTTGGCCAAAGTCCTGATGTTTGTTTATTTTTCTGCCATGTACCCAATGGCTGTCTCAGGTCAGTAGTGCTGTCAGACCCTAACCTGGAGTTCCTAGCAGAGGTGACCTTGAATTCGGCTCAGAGGTGGGAAGCAAGGAAACCAGACATGTTTTTTCTGTCCTGTGAGAGTGTTTTGTGGCCATCCTACCTCGTGTCCAATCATGGGTGGCATTTCCTGACACCCCCTGTGCTAGCTCCTGGCCTCCCTCTGGCATTTGGGAGACATCCATGGGAGACCTGAGCTAACAGGGCCTGGCTGTAGATACACATCCAGGTTGGTGCCTGTCAGCGAGTTCCTGTGAGTGTGTTCCAGAGGGACTGGGACCCTAGGCTTCCCTGTTACCCACACTTCCTGGCTGTGGTCCTGTGTGCCAGGAGGGCCTATAGTTTGGTCAGCTGAACCCCTGCCCTGATACTTCCTTGGCCTATGCAAAGCCTCAAGACTGTTCCAGTTGAATCAAAGGCCACTAAGGTCCCTGATCACAGGCCAGGGCTGGTAGAGGTGTGTGTGCATATGAGAGGCCCAGAGAAACACCAGGCCAACCCCACTAACCAGTGCCCTAAGCCATTGGTTGGCAGCCACTGGAGCAAGGGTCCCTGGGGGCCTGCTGAGTGAGGGACATGATTACAGTCATTACTCTGCATCCATGAGAAATTGAATCTAAAACCCAATGAAAGCAAAATCTGTGGCTGCTCAAGGTCTCTATTAACCTGTCTATTCTTTCTGTAAACTTTAAATCATTTCTAGCTTACTTATAGCACTTAATACAATGCAGATGCTTTGCAAACAGTTGTTATAATATACTGTTTAGGCAAAAATGACAAGCTCTATATGCATTTAGTGTCTTTTTTCTAATGGAAGATTTTCAATCCAAAGTTGGTTGGACCTACAGATGCAGAGCCTGTGGATACGAGGGCCGACCATCAGATGGCAGGGTTCTGGTGCTAGTTTGCATGTTTCAGCTAACTGGAGGAAGATGTGAGTAAGTGGCAGCCTGGAGGCATTTCCAGGGGCCCCACCCCATGTCCCAGTGACTCCTCTTCTCTAGGGACAAGCAGTGGGTTTGCATGTGCATATGTGGGCATGGATGTGGCAGTGTAGAGTGCCCCGTGCCTGTGAATCCACCATAGTCTGCTTGCAAAGCACACCAGGGAGTCCCTAGCACTGACCACACCCGGTATGGATGGAAATCTGTGTGCTGGCATTGAAGGCCTCCTAGGAGAAGTGTGGGGCACATGGGTGGGGAGGACAGTGCCTCTCCACACTGAAGCCCTTTGTTCCCTGAAGGTTTTGTCTCCCTGGGGAGGAAGAAAGGAGCCTGCTGTGGCCAGTCCATCATCCCTTGTGGGAATTGGCACTACCTGCCCATGTTGGGTCCTCGGCTTCAGTCTCACATCACTTAGAGCCGGACCTGGGCTGTAAGGAAGGTCCATGGCAGAAGCCTGATGCTGGCTGCTTAGAGGTCTGCATGTCTAGGACCTGGGGCAGCTGCCAGGTCTGGGCACTAGGAAGAATGGCCTGGGCCCCATGGTGCCTGAGGCTTTTGCTCCACACAACCTAGCTCCATGGCTGACCCAGGTAGGATGTGTGGGCACAGTGCTGGTCTCCAGTTCCCCTCCCCGCCTTACCCTCCATGTGAGACTCTCACACACACGTGGTTTAAAGTGCCCTCCTCTTTTGGTGGACAGCAGTCCCTTTGGGGATTGTAGGTTTGTGGCTTTGCTTATGAGTGGGAAGAAGTGATCACTAAGGGCATGGAGAGGACAAGAGCAGTCATGCAAGTCCGTGCCAGCCCCCGGGAGGCCAGTGGGCAGAAATCAGAACTGGAGGCTGAGTGCTACTTTTGCCCGGTCACTGACCACTGCCTGTGCCTGCAGGCCTATGCGGCTTGCTCACAGCTCCCCAACGTTTACACGTGGCAGCCTAGTGACAGCCATGTTTATCCCCACTCTGCAGAAAAAGAAACAGCTTCTCAGGGTTCTCTGCTGTGCTCCAGGTCCGCCAGCTTATCAAGTGCAGAGCTGGGACTTGAACCCGGGACTCCCAGGAGCTGCTTCACCACTGCTGTCCTTACTCTGCCTGACTAAACACGTCACTTCTTTGAGTCTCTCAGAGAAAACTCAGGGACTGGTGATAGGAGGGATGACCTATCCCATGTAGATATCAGAGATCACGCTGTTAACATACAAAGTATGTTTCATGAAACAAGTGAAATACACACTGCATTTAGTGTGTTTTCCATTTTATAAGGTAACACGTGTGCAAGCGTACACCCACACATGCACATGTGCCAGGAAGCTTGTTAACAGTGGTGATTATATTTAGCTAACAGAAATGCAGATACTTTAGTCTGCTTTCTAGGGGATACTTAAATTTCTTTTTACAGTGAAATGTTTCTTATTTTTTAAAAGAGTAATTAAAAATAAAACCTGGACTGGCCACTGGGACAGGTCAGGACACGAGTGTCCTCAGGAGAGGGTGAGTTCCCTGTCCTTGGGGGCAGACAAGCAGAGGCTGAGTGCACATCTCTGGTGGATGCTGTCTGGGGATGCCTGGTGAGAGGAGTGTCTCGGATGGATCCTTTGATGAATGGTGTGAGGTTCTGCCCACAGGTCCCTGGGTCTGTGAGAGGAGCTCATCTCCTTCTCAGTGACAGCTGGGAGCCTGTTCAGATGCAGGTCCTGACTCGGGAAGTCTGGGTGGAGCCAAGATTCTGCTTTCAAACAGGCTCCAGGGCAATGCTGCTGCTGGTCTGAGGCCCTGGAGCACTTCCAGATGGAGAAGGGCCCAGTGTGCCCGCCCTAGTGCCCAGGCATTATAGGAACAGGCAGGACTGCAGTGGTGATTGGAGGAGTACACAGAATGTTAGGACCAGAAGATTGAACCAAGGTCCTCTGAGCCAGGTGACCCCCCACCCCAACCCAAGACTTTGACTTCATGGAAAGAGTTCAGGGTGGGGATTCAGTGATCCAAGATTAGAAGCCTAGCTTTAAAGCTTGTTAGGTCTGTGTCCCTGGGCAAGCAATTTCACCTCTCTCAACCTTAATTTCCATATCTATAAAGTTGGGATAAGAATGCTTGCTTGATTCAGTCATGGTGGGGTGAAATGTGTTGAATGTTAAGCTTCTAGCTCGGAACCTGGCCTTTAGTGAATGTTTGTATCCCCTTAAAATATGTCCCCCTGCAGGTGGATGAGATTTACCACGATGAGTCCCTGGGTGCCCACATGAACATTGCCCTTGTCCGTTTGATCATGGTTGGCTACCGGCAGGTGAGCCACAGCTGACCAGTCAGCAGGAAAGGTCTGGAAGAAAGAGAGCCATAAAGCCACAATGTGAGACCAACTATGGTGTGACCTGAGGGGCAAGTGTCCAGGAGACTTCAACTCCAAAATCAGAACCTTGAGCCCATTAGATCTGGAGCTCAGGGTGAAAGCATTGGAGGTGGGAGTGGGAAGTCATGGATTCTTTGGTAGAGGAAGCTGACAGTTCTGTGTCCTTGCAGAGGGTGGTCACTCTTCCCTGAGGAGTCAATAGGGAAATGGGTTTCCAGAGGGACAGTGACCAAGATAAGTCATGTCATATTGAGCCTGGGAATCCCGGGCTCTACAGTCTTAGAAGGGGTTACTTATTCTCCCCAAATGGGGAGTAACAACCCAACTTACATCTAAGCTGTGGAGATCTGACTGGGCAGTGAACTCAAGGTGTGGGGGAAAACTCAGAACAGTGCCTGCTTGCAGGTTAGTCGAGGGGATTGGAAATACATGAGCATGTATCCAAGGCAGTGAGGCTGTAGGGGCGGGCACTGCAGTTCCCTGGGGCTGTGGGTGGGAGGACAGCTGCTGTGGTACCCCAGACCCCGACTGTTCCCTCTTGCCACGCTTCTGGCCTTGCAGTCTCTGAACCTGATTGAACGCGGGAATCCTGCACGCAGCCTGGAGCAGGTGTGTCGCTGGGCACAATCCCAGCAGCGCCAGGACCCTGGCCATGCTGAGCATCACGACCACGTCATCTTCCTCACCCGGCAGAACTTTGGGCCCTCAGGTATGCAAGGTACTGTATTTGTTGTGGCCAGGTGTGTGCAGCCTGCAGGGCAGAGCTGGGGATTCAGGCTGGGCTTGGAGGAGCATGGGCTTTCTGGGGCCTCTCCTCAAGGAGGTCAGAAAGGACAGGACCTGCAAGGATAGGTGGGTGAGCTTTGGAATGGCTTATTGGAGACCACAGCAAGTGAGATAGTCTCCTCTCAGGTGTGTACTGTCTTGCTTCAGCCTGTAGGTAGCTGTAAGTAGCTAGGTCTGGGGCCCTGTGATCAATGTCCCAGCTGCTCAGAGGCCAGCTGCTTAATGATCCCCTAGTGAACCTCAAGATGGTATTGCCCACACCTTGTCCTGTGTCCTGATTGTAGACTGTGGGTACTTGGGGATGGTTGTGTGGGCTGCAGAAAATCCATGCCCTGATCCATGCCTTGATAGCCCAGCTCAGAAACCCAAAGTCAAGAAACCCTGGATTCTCCCAACTGCCCAGTGGGACAGTCTTAATCTTTGCCTTCCTCCATGTGCTGCTGATCAGAGGGTGGAGGGGAAATGTCCATGACACAGTGTAGACGACTCTCAGCATCGGTGAACACGTGCAGCTTTGACCCCTCCCCAGTTTTTCACATGGGAAAATGAACACAGCGTGGTGAGGAGGCTTGCCTGTGTCCCACAGCGACAGATGTGAGCCCAAGCTGGCTCTCCACACACTACGGTGAGGGCTATTTTTATTAATGCTAGAAACCAATCAGCCAGCTCTGCCCTCCCAAAGGACTTCTTGTCTGAACCCATGAAGCTCCAAACATGGCCTGCGGACACACATATACACATCCAGACACATACACACTGAGACATGTGCACACACCAGATAGACACTGTACATGCTTGTACACTATGTGTGCAGATAACCCAGCAGGCACATGGGCATGCACAGGTACACAGATGCAGGCACACACTTATGCAAGGATGACCATGTCATGGGCAGCAAATCCTAGACCTCCAGAATGAGAGACCCCCAGCCTCCTTCCCACTGTGGCCTCATTATCCACCCCCCAAACCATATGAAGTGCAAGACCACTTCGGTAACATTAAGACCGGAAAAGCTCACTGTAGTTGACTGTAGTTGGTCCAGGCAGGGATCACTGTCTGCCAGTACCCCTCCTCCTTGAAGCCTCCTGCAGCTCAGTCTGACCTGTTGGCCTGTGTGTGTGTGTGTGTGTGTGTGACATTGGTGGTACTGGGGATTAAACCCAGGACCTGAAGCACCTTAAACATACGATCCACTGCTGAACCCCACCCCAGCCCTGGCTGGGTTTGAGGAGCAGGCCCTGAGGCGTGGACCTTGCACACTGGATGCGCAGGGCTGGTCAGCAGTGGCCGGTGTACTCCACGTCAGTCCTGTCGCCCTGCCACCTCCACCTTTGCGTGTCCACACCCCTAGGGAGTCATCTCACCTGTCCTCAGGGTCCATCTCTGCCACCGCATAAAGTATTCCCTGTGCCCGTGGGTCCTGCCCGTTGTTGAAACCGTGTCCTTTCGCTGCCTGCAGGTCCCTCCTCTCCCCACCTTGCTCCCTGAATCTGGTGTTGCAGGCCCACCTGTAAGCTGATCTCCCTGCCAATTGGGCTTTCCATAATGCCCTGTTGTGCTTTATGAGGTGGGGGGGGGGGGAGCGTGGGTCTGATTCCTCCCTGTTTTCCCCATAGTACCCAGAGAAAGTTTTTCTTTTTCTTTTTCTTTTTCTTTTCCTTTCCTTTCCTTTTTCCTTCCCTCCTTCCTTCTTTGTTGTTTTTGAGCTAGTCCCTCTCCATGTTGTCCAAACTGGTCTCAAACTCTCAGGCTCAAACACTACTCTTGCCTCAGTCTTCTGAGAGCTGGGATTAGAAGTACATGCCCCCATAGTGGCCAACACAGTGCCACCCACTGTTTCCTCACAAAAAGCATCCCAAGCTTGTTTGTTGACTGACTGAAGAACTGACTGACTGCCTGTAAGATAGGAAGAATGTCTTCTTATGGAAGGAGAGTGTACACAGGATTGTACCCTACCTGGAAATTCCACCACTTGTTTGGAGGAATCAACAATAGAGTGGGAAACTGTAGACTCTGTGTCAAACCCTAGGACACAGGGACACAGGTCCAGGGTTGCTGCGCATGGGTAGGACTTTGTGAGTGTCCTTCTTCAAAGGATTCCAGCACTGACCAGGTCAGGATGTCCCTGCAGTGACTGGGCTGGGCTCAAACCCCAGCATGTCCCACCTAAGCTGCCTGTGACCTCCCTCTCTTTTTTTCTCTCTCCCCGGCAGGGTACGCGCCTGTCACTGGCATGTGTCACCCCCTGAGAAGCTGTGCCCTCAACCATGAGGATGGCTTTTCTTCTGCTTTTGTGGTGGCCCATGAGACTGGCCACGTGTAAGTGGCATTGGGAGGGTGGGGTCAGTGGCTCCATGGCCATGGGCTGGAGTCCTGGGGTGAAAGGTGTTGCCAGGATCAGGCTCTGGTCCCAGTGTCTCAGGAGAGGCGGCAGAGCTGGCCGGCAGAGCTGTCACTGAGGCCTGGTGTCTCAGATCTGTGGGGTTGACAGAGGCCTTTCCCTGCGGGGGAGGCGTCCAAGGAGCCCTTGGCAGTTCTGGGTTTGCCCTATGTGGCCATGAAGATCAGGTGCAGTCCTGGCTTTGGGTAGGTCAGGGATGGTGTCCCTGTCACAGGCAGGACCTACTCCCGGGGTGGTCTCCATCCCTGGTTTCCCTCTGCCCTGAGGTCCTCCTGAGACTCCATCCAGCTCACCCCTGTGCTCCATGCTGATGAAGGAGTTGGCCCCAGACTATGGTAAACAGCTCACTCAGAGCCCTGGCTGCAGGCCCGGTGAGGCCAGCAGGCCGGCTCTGTGGCCGGCTCTGTGGCCGGGAGGTTGTTTACAGCACACACATTCATTTGTTCAGTCATAGTTCCTGAGCACCTGAAAATGGGCTGAGGCAGAAGTTGGGACAGAGAGACCCTCCCACAGGGACGGTGCTGAAGGAGACCAAAAGGGCAGTGGTGGCTTCTCTCCCTACACCTGTTTTCCCCTGGAGATGGACATGGAAGCAGACCCCAGGGAAATCTTTGGGTCCCCAACCTGCTGTGTTGATTGCTGAAGCCAGAAGTTTGCAGGACAGAGGTGTCCACTCTTCCTGGAGGAGAGGCCCCTTCCTGTGCAGAGAGAGGTCCTGTGAAGCTGCTTAGGGGTCAAGGCCAGGTGCAGCCACCTGGGAGTTTTTAAGTAAACTAGGACCATTGGGCTTTGGCATTGCGTACTAGCTGTAAAGAGCAGTTTTGATTTTAAACTGTCATTGGGGTCGTTGCCTGTCACATGCTGAGCTCTGTGCTGGGTTCTCAGGGTCTGGCACACAAAGGGTCTACGTGGAAGGGATTGAATCTTTATTCCTAATTTGGGTGGGGATCATGGTCTCCTGCTTCAGATCTGCCTGCCTTCCCAGGGCAGACTCTTGGAATGACTTGGGGTTCCCCTCTATCCCCCATCTACCCTGCCTCGCAGGCTTGGAATGGAACATGATGGGCAGGGGAATGGCTGCTCCGACGAGACCAGCCTGGGCAGCGTCATGGCGCCCCTGGTGCAGGCCGCCTTCCACCGCTTCCACTGGTCCCGCTGTAGCAAGCTGGAACTCAGCCGCTACCTCCCGTAAGTCACTTCTGACTGTGGCCAAGGAGGGTGGGAGCAAGCAGCCTGCCACTCTGAGCAGAGATCGCCCAGCTGGCTGTCATCCTCAAGGCTGTCACCCTCATCTCCCAACCTGACTTGACTCACGTGGCTTTTCCAGTCCCCACTCCCACTACCTGGCCTACAGCACCCCTGGTGACATCACAGGTGGGTTAGTCCCAGTGTGCCCAGTGGCTATTTGCATATACTTATTGCTAACACCCCAGATGTCCTGGTCCCACCCAAGATGCTTTTGAGAATCTGCTGAGGGTTGAGCCTGGCCAGCTGCGTTCATCCGGCCCTGCAGGTGATACTCTCGGGGATGGTTAGTTGTCACCAGGCTGGGGCTGAGTATCTCAGTCTCCCTGGGATCCCAGTGAAGAGACATGCAAAGGAGAGCTTGTCACTGCAGGACAAGTGTTAGACTCAGGAGCACAGGGCCTGGGAATGGGCAGAATGGATCTGGGTAGGGGAGGTAGGAGAAAGATGGAGTCACCGGTCTCCCCAGGCTGCTGGCTGGGGAAGCCTGCGCTGCGTACTCTGTGACATCAGCTGGCTTTGCCTCTTCCCACAGGGCAGAATGAATCCTGAACTTGTCATGAATCAGCTCTTAGTCTTGGCTAAGGGTGCTGCCCTTGAACACGATCAAAACTAACCTTAAACAGTCTACAAACTGGGCTGCTAACACTAGTTCCTGTCCCCTGGCTGCAAATGGAGCCCTCCCTGTCACCAGAGGAAACCAAGTCCTGAGTGACAGGGACACTCTGGCAGCCTGTCCTCCCTGGAAGAAATGGCCCTGCTCAGGGCAGTGGATACAGGTTCCTTGGTTGTCATAAGCCCTAATCCCTGGGGAGGGGCTCCCTGTCATCAGGCTGGCTCACCCCCCATCTCCCCTGCAGGTCCTACGACTGCCTCCTCGATGACCCCTTTGATCCCGCCTGGCCCCAGCCCCCAGAGCTGCCTGGGATTGACTACTCGATGGATGAGCAGTGCCGCTTTGACTTCGGCACTGGATATCAGACCTGCTTGGCAGTGAGTGTCCCTGGGCTCTGTCTGAAGGTCCCTGTCCTCCTGTGACCCAGGCTAGTCATTTGTGAGACATTTTCCACCTGGATAGCCAGTGCCCCTGGGGATGGGCCCACCGGTCTGGAGCTACCAGGGTAGGAGTGGTGCACAGGGAGGACACCTTCGGGGCAGCTGTGTGCAGAGATTTGAATGTGGGTTTGCTCAGGGAGCACAGGGCAGCTGATGGGATCCTGGCCAGCTCTGTCCCGTGGGGAGTTTACCTGCAAGGCTGTCAGGGTGTCAGACCAGGAGCTGGGGCAAGAGGAACAGAATTCCCACCCTCAGGAGGCTTGGGTGACGTTTTGGTCTAAGGCCCCACTAGAGCATGTCACCTCTGGGGTATGGAAGGCTCACTTCCATGTCCCTATCCCTGTGCCTGAGGCTGTAGATACAAGTGACTGTAACTCTGTCTCTGCCCTGCAGGACAGGGCAGGGGACACCGTTGAGCCTGGAGGTCAGCAGAACCAAGCAGTGCCATTGTGGGGCCAGGCAGAGACTCAGAGAGGGGCCTTTCAGGGGAGGGGCCTTCCTGATAGGGCGGGCCTTTGTGTTTGGTTCCCCCCACTGAGGGAACATAGCCCCACCCTTTTGTCCTGTTTGGTATCATGAGAAACGCCCGTGTGCTGTCACCTTCTCTGCTCTCTGAGCCACACTAGGACATGTGGTCTGACAAAGCACTGCTTTTCGGATGAAAGAATGGGGCGTGGGGGGTTCTATTGCCCAATGTTGTATCAGCAGTATGCTTGTCTGGTTTTCGGCAGTTGCTGATAGACGGTATTAAGGAGACTGGGGCTTTCCTAGAAAGGCTGATACATACAGTGACCAACCTCTGGCCTCACTGAGTGTCCACTTTAGAGGGAGATAGGGGCTTTCAAACTCTTTTGGCTCCCCTCTGGGCCACCCCTCCCCCATGTACACAAGGATTTGAAGCATCATGAGCCAGACCTCCCCAAAACCTCAAATCCTGGTCCCAGATCATGACAAAGTGGCTTCTGCTGAGATAGGGAGGGAGGCCAGGAGAGAGAGGACAGAGGGCCTGTGAATTGTACTGGCCTCACCTTAGTCCCCTGCTCAGGGAGGAGGGTCCTGGGAACTACTGGTACTTGGGGTATGGTTGAGCTTGTGGATGCGTGGGGTTCTGGCTTTCTCGGAACCCTGGGCCCCAGCATCTGCCGCATCCTCCCCTCTCTCTATCACTGCCCTTTGCTCCTTGGACAGCTGGTCAGAGCTGGAGAGTCCAGCCTGTGACTTCCTCCCCTTGCCACCAGTTCAGGACTTTTGAACCCTGCAAGCAGTTGTGGTGCAGCCACCCTGATAACCCGTACTTCTGCAAGACCAAGAAGGGGCCCCCGCTGGATGGAACTGAATGTGAACCAGGCAAGGTACTGGCAGGATCTGCAGAAGTGCTGTCCTGAGGTGTCCTGTCTATTCTGGCATGGGTTCGGGGCTCTGGGGGCCTCTCTGCCTGTGCGTATGTGAAGGGAGGCAGTGCAAAAATATAGGTACAAACCTGGTGAGAGGTCTATCTGCCCACAACCTCACAGCCCTTTCCTCCGGTGCCACGCCCTTTGCCTGTGCAGTCAGCCAAGCTTAGTGTGGCAGGAATGGTGATTCCTGTGTCACAGATGAGAACAGAGCACAAACGGGTTACAGAACTTGTCAGGAACAGGCAGTGTTTAGCAGATGAAATAAAAAGAAGACTCCAGACCTACTCTGTACCCCTGTCCCCAGGCTGTTGCACCCCACCCCTTGCCCTGCCCTTGAAGTGTTTCCTGTTCTGTTTTCTCCCTTGTCTTAGATGGGTCCCAGAGTTATGTTTTCAGGGATCTTGTGTCTGGTTCCTGAGCTGAGCCCTGTCCTTGATCCCTGTGTGGGGACCTCGAGCCATTCTTTGAACTTCTCGTTTCACCAACCCAACTTACCTCTGACCAAGCATCCTCCCCACTACTCCAAGTGGTACTGGAGTGGCTGGATCCCATCTGAGCAAGTGACAGAGTTGGGAAGAAGCAAGGTGTTAAGAGGTTTTTGAAGTCAGGTGTAGTGGGGCAGGCCTGCAATCTCAGTACCCTGGCAGGCCGAGGCAGGAAGATTGCGAGTTCCAGCCCAGCCTGGATAACTTAGTGAGACCCTGTATCAAAAATAAATAACAAAGGACCAGCGATGTCGTCAGTGCATAGGTCCTGGATTCACTCTCAAGTATTGCACCAGAAGAGAGGGAAAGAGAGAAAGAAAAGAGGAGGCAGGGATTTAGCTGTGAGCCCAGCACGGAGTGCCTACCCTCTGCCCTTTGCCACATGACCTCTGTGCTGCTGGGCATCTCCTATTTATGCCTCACAGATAGATGGGGCTTCCTGTGGTCCTGGGCAGACCAATGGGCTCCAAACCTTGTAGGTCCTCTTCCAAATCTGTCCACCTCTGGCTTTTTCCAGGGTATTTTTAGAGCTACAGGTGTCTCTCAGTCGGTTTTGTACATGCTGTTAGCCAGTGGTTCTCAGTTGTGGCTGTGTGTTTGAGTCTTTGGAGAGCTTTAAAAACCCCAACCTAGAAGAAGGAGTGACTGCAGATGACCAGAGATGATCTTTCAAGGGTGATGGAAATGCTCTAAAGTTGGATTGAAGTGAAGGTTGCACAACTCTGTGAGTTTATACTTAAAAAAAAAAATCTTTGAACTGGACACTTGACATGAAGGACCTCATGGCATCTCATAGCTTTCTGAAGCCCTTGCCTCTAGAGATTTCACTCTAGCTTGGAAAGAGTGTGTCTTTATTTCTCCTGGGGTGCTGAATAAAGTAATTGCACAATTATTATCATCATTAATCTCATCAAATAATATCTGCGATATTTATCGACTGTGATAGGTGGGTATAACTGTCTGTATTGTACCCTTGAGGGGGCCAGGAAGGTAAGCCCTTGGTCTGAGGTTGCTCAGCGCATGGCAGGGGTGGGATTCTGGCTGGTTCCAGGCTTTCTCTTAGCATCTCTTTCTCCGGGCTCCCCATGGTGTCCACCAGCTTCAATGTGTGCCTGTTTTAGCAGCCTCCATGGAAGGCTCCACTGCCATGGCCCAGGATGACCTCATGCCCTCTGCTCCAACCTAGTGGTGCTTCAAAGGTCACTGCATCTGGAAGTCGCCAGAGCAGATGTATGGCCAGGATGGAGGCTGGAGTCCCTGGTCCACGTTTGGGTCGTGTTCTCGGTCTTGCGGAGGTGGAGTGCGATCCCGCAGTCGGAGCTGTGACAACCCCCCGTGAGTGCACTTTCCTGGGGTGGGCTGGGCAAGGGACCCCTTCCTAGGGTAGAAGGACATGGAAAGGAAGGCAGTGAAAGACCAGGTGCAGAAGCAAATGTCCCCCAGATGTCATGTACTCTGTTGGTGAGGACCCAGAACTGGGGTGGATCTGATCACACCTGTATCTGCTGGGTGGGATGCTGACTTTGGGAATGCATCTGAACAAGTGACACTCAGACATTCATGAGTGTCAAATGATGCTCTGAACCTGGGTGGGCCCAAGCCTGCCAGGTAAACCAGCCCTCCCATGACCTGGACCCTTCAGCTAAATTTGGACTAAACACTGATCAATATGTGCCGAATGTGTTCCCCAGTTTTCACCTTCTACTTTGCATGAGGCAAAACTTCCTTCTTAACTTACCTCTTTCTAATGTCAAAGCCTCTCGGCCCCCACATAAATGTCAGCATTCTGGGGTGATGTCTGTTGGTCCCTCCTCATCCCCTCTGTAACATCCCCTCCCCCAACCCACGTCTTTGGAACTTGGGAGCAAGTTCCAAAACAGGGCCTCGCCTAGCCACTCCTGGCACTGAGTAGTGTGATGAATACTGCACAATGGCAGATCGCAGGACCGCAGCAGCTCTGCATCCTCAGAAGTAGCAGCTGTTGCAGAGATAAGAAGCTCACCGCCTAAGAAGCAGCCTGTCCTATGGGCAGCTAGACTGGCCTGCTACAAACGGGAGCCACATAATCTGCCTTGTAATTTTCATTTGTTGAAGAAACAAAAGTCCAGATGATAGTCCCGAACCACTTTGCAGTCAAGACTGACAGTTATGCCCTTCCTTGATCAAAGCTGTGGTTGTACTTCCTGAAATAACTGTTTTATTTTATGAGGCCTAAATGAAATAATATGTGAGCCCCAGGCACCATGTCTGGTGCAGGTGGAACGCATCATAGATGCCAGCTGCTGTTATAATTGTTACTTTGCAAAGTGTAAGAAACACTTTGTGAGAGCCAGGTAGAGTGCTAAGCATTTAGCCTGGGAGTCTGCAAGCATCTGTCAGCAGCAGCTGTTAACCTTGGCAACTTTGTATTGATTAGCACTTAAATACTTTGGAGTCTCACCTAGTGTTTTTGGCTTAACGAAGAAAAGAGTACAGATTGCTTTACAATGTCCTTATCATTCTTCACAGATGTACCAAGAGTGTGTAAAATAGGAAGTTTTATGGTCTGGCTTTTTAAGGAGAAATTAAGGCACAGCCCAAAGAGGGCTTGGGTACTCCCCCCTTGTGATTCCAAATCAAGTCTCCTTGACCACTCCTTAATTTATTATGATCCCGAATGGGAGCAAATGCAAAGAATAGTAGTCGAGTCATTTATTAAGTGTCTGCTGCATTCCAGACTCTGTTAAAGGAATAATCCGATGGGGTAAGACTGATTTCCAGCCCTGTTGGAAAGGGTTGGCCGTTCCCCATATCTGTCTGTCTATCTGTTCCGCTCACCCACACACACAGGGGAAGAAGTGGTGTCTACCTGAAGGTGGAATAGTCAGGGAGGAGGGGATCTGGAGACTGATCTCAGTGGCCACACTGCCGGTCCCTCTCTAGCTCATGAGTTGGCGGAGCCCTTGTGATGCTGCCCCCGGCAGCCTGCCCACCCTCCGGCCTTCCCAGCCAGCCAGGTCACCAGGTCTCTCTGTGCTAACCCAGCCCAGCCTATGGAGGCCGCTCCTGTTCAGGACCCTTGTTCGAGTACCAGATCTGCAACAGTGAGGACTGTCCCGGGCCCTACGAGGACTTCCGGGCCCAGCAGTGTGCCAAGCGCAACTCCTACTACATCCACCAGAATGCCAAGCACAGCTGGCTCCCCTATGAGCCGAATGATGGTGAGTGCCCTCCACTGTGTCTTGGGCACCCAGTGGGGCCATGTGAGGTCACCCTCCAGTACTCCCACCAGCAAATGTGAAGGGATATCAAGGCATCAAAAAGGACACTCCCTGCTCATGTTTGAATGCCAGGATCCTCAAGCTGGAAGGGACCTCAGGGGCCTGTCATTACAGACTCCTCTGGGAACCCTTGCTGGGAGTGTTTGTCCTTCTGCCTGGACTCCTCCCATTCTCCTCACCATTCCCTTGCTGCAGGCTGCCTAGGTGTGTTGGTCAGGACCCTGCCTGACCTCCAGAGCAGTGGAGTACCTCAGACCTGGGTCCCACCGGGAATCTGGCTCTTACGCAGGATATTCAAGCACATCTTGGACATTGTGGCTCCAGCTTGGAATCCTGTGTGCTGGAGGCAAGAAGTCACCAGGTGTCCTGTGAGGTCAGGGACCAGAAGCAGGAACAGCTAATTTCCTTAGAATGGGCTGCAGGAAAGGCTTACTTTGGAAGCCTTCTGGTCCCATCAGAACCTGAACAAGCAGCTGCAGTGTGGGGAGGGAGCAGGGGTGTCCAGGAAGCAGCTGGACTTGGGCTTTTCCCAGGATTTATAGATAAAATCCCAGGACGTCAGCTGAGACTCAGCCTTGTTTCATCTAAGAAGCACAGCAACTGTTTATTTACATGTTCTCTGGAATCTCCTTTTAGGCCATCCGTGGTCCAGATAGGAGAAAATTTAACTGTCAGAACAGGGAGGTTCTGTGTCCCGTCCCCCCCCCCCCCGTGCCTTACTGCAGCTCCATTCACAAGCCAAATCCAGGCCAGCATCCTGCCTCACTTTCTCACCGCCCTGTGATGCACCATCAAGCCACTCCAGGTGTGCCCGGTGAAGTGTGGTAGAGGTCTGCCACTCATAGTGGACTGCCCCGCTTAGAATTGCGCTGAACTGCTCATTGTGTGGCCATGAGCAAGTTCTTGAACTTCTGGCACTAAGTATTGGCTCACTGTGATTCTTACTAGTTTGTGGCTTGATTTTTCTCAGTAACCAAAAATGATGTGGCATTTTTCCGATCAGGAATAATGATAAGAGAGAACGTTAGATCATTTGCCCTAGGTTACATGCCTCATCTCTAAGGGCCTCACAAGGGGCTTAAGTTCTGGGTCCACAAAGAGTGCACCCCTCCTGCCCCAAGCTGACTGAAGAGCTTCTTAATTGGGCTGTGCACCGGTGTCATCCTGGGCCACCAGCTGTCTGCCAGCCCAGCCAGGGCTCATCGTGGTCCCTCTGCCCACAGACACCCAGAAGTGTGAGCTGATCTGCCAGTCAGCGGACACGGGCGAGGTGGTGTACATGAACCAAGTGGTCCACGATGGGACACGCTGCAGCTACCGGGACCCGTACAGTGTCTGTGCCCGTGGCGAGTGTGTGGTGGGTGTCATCCAAGGGACGCTCCACAGTGCCGTCCTCATGTTCCATAGGAGATAGCATGGCCATATCTGCTGCACTCAGGAAGCCCCTGAGTACTCTGTATAGCCCTAGGCTGCAGGAAAGGGGTCACTTACTGCCCAGCCCCATTCCCAGGAGAGGAGAAGGCAAGTTTAGGTCCCATGGTGAATTCGAGGGAGGGTCCTGTCTTGGGAGGCCTTTTGGGCCAGGATTCCTCGCCAGGGAGGGCCTGGGGACTGGGAAGAGAGCCTGGGTGGGGTACTCTTCCCATTCATCTCACCTCTGCCTCAGCCCTTTGGCTGTGACAAGGAGATGGGGTCCATGAAGGCAGATGACAAGTGCGGAGTTTGTGGCGGTGACAATTCCCACTGCAGGACCGTGAAGGGGACGCTGGGCAAAGCCTCCAAGCAGGCAGGTGAGCGGGCTTGGGCTGCGTGACTCTCGGGTGCCTCTCCCCTTGATCCAGGTCATGGTTCCAGCAGGGCTGAGGGACCCTGAGCCTGTCTCATTGTATGGTTGGTGACTGAGAAAGGTGGGATCCTCGCGGCCCACTTTATTAAGCCCCTACGGTAGCTGAAGTGTGAGAAGAAAGGAGAGAGATCAGAGGAGCGAGGAGGGGAAGTAGCAGAAGTGAGAGAAGAGGGTCAAGAAGGTGGGGATCGCAGTGGCACACGTGTCCCTCCCATGGGCCTTGTGCAACCCCCAGTGTGCAGGCAGAGAGGCCCTGTGCTGAGGAGCTGTTCCTGGGTGCTCGGGGTGGGCTGCTGGGCAGGGGCCCCCTTGCTTAGGACATTCCCTGCTGACCAGTGTCCTCCTGTGTGGCAGCAGCTCACAAACTGGTGCAGATACCAGCGGGAGCCAGACACATCCAGATTGAGACGCTGGAGAAGGCGCCCCACCGCATCGGTGAGTGCGGGTGCCCTGAGGTTTGGGGTGCTGAGACAGTTCGGGGCAGTTTCACAGGCTTGAGCCATGGCCAGAGAACCCTTCTTAGTTTTAACTCTATACCGAATGGGTGAGTCTCACTTCTGGAGGTCTAAAAGGAGATCAAGTGAACAGCCCCTACCCTGCCCTCTGTCCCTCGGGGTAGTTTCTTCCCCACGGCAGCCACTGTTCAGATTTCTCGTGGACTGAGTTGGCTTTTGAAGGAAGCCAACCTTGTCCCAGGATGTGTGGGTCAGTTGCTGCTGCGTGACTCGCCTGTCCAGCATGTAGTCTCTTGGAGTGATTGCTAGCTCTGTGAGCTGCTTTGGGGACCCACATAGATGTCACCGGCTGGTGGGCTGTTGGAAGCTGGCTGGCCAGGGTTAGTACTGGCTGTCAACTCAGACCATCAGGGTGACAGAGCCATGTCTCCAGCAGGCTCACCAGGGATTCCTTACCTGGTGTCTGTCTTGTCCTCAGCAGTAGCACCCTTTGCTTACATCCTTTTCTAATGTGCCTTTGGCCCACATCACATGGCCAAGCCACTCAGGGAGGCTGAGGTAGGAAGACTCCATGTCTGAGCCCAGCCTGAGCAACTGAGCAAGACCCTGTCTCAAGAGAAAAAAAAAGACTGGTGATGTGACCAGAGCAAATGCCCTGGGAATCTTCTGTACTGAAATACACGCACACACACTCACACACACACACACCCCAGTAGGAATCCAGTCTCTTGATGGAAGAAATGATAAAGTCACCATGCAAGGGAGCATTGCAGCACTGTGTGTAGGAGCAGGACAAGTTGAGGACCGTTCCTGCAGTCCACCACTTAGATCCGATTCTCCTCATTTTAGTGCTACTTAAACTCAGAGTCCTTAGCCCAGGTATGGATTTATGCTTATAAATAACTATGAGGCCAAGACAGGTTAAAAAATTAGAACTCCAAGATGAATTAAATTTAAAAATTCCAGTTGTAAGAATATTAACATGACATGAGAGATATTTTTATTGTTTTGTTTTTGCTGAAAGCAAATTGGCAGAAGATGTAAATCTAGACATAAAATAGATTCATGGGTGCCAGGAGTTAAGGGGAGGATATGGGGTGACTGCTAATGGTATTGGGTTTCTTTGGGGGTGATGAAAATGTTTTGGAATTTCATGGTGATGATGGCTGAATGTAGTAACACATCACTGAATTGCACACTTTAATAATTAGAGTGGATTGTATGTGGTGGATTTTATCTCAATTACAAACCCTTGAGCATGGTTTGGAGCAGGGCCTGGTGTGCTGTGGGCAGTGGGCTGCTTCTGCAGTAGCTGGGATCTCTCTTGTGGATCTGTGTTCAGATCCCTCTCAGAAGGCGTGTGGGCTGCACTGTCACCTTGGCATGGTCCCCACTAACTGAGTATGCCCAGTGAGTCCCGCTTCTGTGTCACCTGCCGCACCAGGAACGCTAACACAAAGCACGACCCGTCTTAGCAAATATAAAAATGCTGACTGTGGTACCTTAGATTATTATCAATAAACCTGGAGAACGTGCCTTGCCTGGATAAGACGCCCGCATCGGTGTCTCTCCTTAGCATAGCTGTGATTGGTTCCTAACCAGCTTAAGGAGGCACTGTGAAGGGCATGATACACACAGGCAGGAGGCACAAGTGAAAACTCAGGCCTGCCATGAATTTAGGCCCGTGTTTACTCTCATTTACCCTTGTAGGTCGGGGGCAGAGCCAGCTGGGGTTCAGGACTCCTATGTCCCACCCTGGCCCTCTGCTACAGTGAACATGAGTTTTCAGACATTAGCTCGGATAATTCCTGCCCGTTGTGCCTGCCAGATTTTGAGGGGCTGTGCTGGAATCAGAGCAGAAGGGAGGGGTGCTACTCTGACACAGCTCTGCTGTCTCCCTGGAATGATGGTTCCTGAATGTTAGCTGCCAGCTCCTCCCACCTGCCTCCGGAAGCCTAGGTCTTTGGTCCCCATAGAGGGGGCACATGCCTTGTGGGCCAAGACCTGCTTCCTTTGGCAGTCAGAGAGAGGCTGCCAGGACAGGGGCAGGTGGAGGGGACCATGTGGGGCGCCTGCAGGGAGAAGGTATAGGGGTACTGGGAGCTGGAAGCGGGAGTAGCCCAGGTTTATGAGGTACAAGGCAGGCCCCTGCACATGTATAGAATGTGAATGTGTGAGTGAGCGTGCGTGTGATGCATGCCTGGGTGGGTATGTCTGCTGGAGAATGTGCTCTTTGCAGAAGTGCAGGGTGGTGGCAGCCTTGGCAGTGAAGTCCACAGCACTGCCCACACTGAAACCATGACCTCATTTAAGCCCTATGATGACCTATGAAGGACACTGTCTTCACATTTTACAGTTGGGATAACTGAGGCAGCACGGGGACCCCAAATCACTTCCCATGATGTCTGTGACTCTAAAGCCTGAGCTTGTCACCTCTGCGCTTTGCTATAGAAGCTCCAGGGAGGACAGCATTTCTGAGGGTGGCGCAGTCAAAGCAGGCTGGAGGAGTCACGTTGAGCTATATCTGTAGATGGAAATAGGACGAAACAGAGCAGCGAGTGTGAGCAATGGTGGACACCAGGACCAGAGGCAGGACAAGTGCATGCAGGAGACATTGTGTGGACCTGGACGGTGGGAAGGATTCAGGTGGAAGGAGTGGCAGGCAGCCAGAGGAGCCACCTAGGCACACTAGGAAGGCCTTTGTGGTCCACATTCTCAAGTCCCTTAGAAGGAAGTAGAAATCTGTGTGTTTCTGTCCTGCCAGCCGTGAAGAACCAGGTCACCGGCAGCTTCATCCTCAACCCCAAGGGCAAGGAAGCCTTGAGCCAGACCTTTACCGCGCTGGGCTTGGAGTGGGAACATGAGGTGGAAGATACCAAGGACAGCCTCAAGACCAGCGGGCCCTTGCCTGAAGCCATCGCTGTCCTGGTGAGCCCCATTCCTGGCAGTGGCCCTGCTCGCCCCTTGCCCTGTGCTGTCTGCTGCCAGCCTGCACAGACTGGGGATACTCCCATGTCTGCAGGGGGCCGAGGCGCTGGCTCCTGGGCAGCTTCTCATTTGTGCTTAAGAGCTGGCAGGGTGCTTCCTGACACCTTCCAAAGTCAGGGAGTCAGCAAAAGACCCAGGGATGTGGGTGCTGTCCTCACTAGGACATAGGTCTATGGACAGTACTGACCAGCTGCTCTCAGGGCTGGCACACAGCAGGTATTTAGTTTGGGCAGTAGGAGTTTGGCATATGGCTGCCAGCCCACTCATCCCCAACCACGCTCGGCACTGCCTCATCCCTGTCTTTAACCCCCATCCTTCCCTTGGGCCCCATCCCCACCCTGCTGCTCTTTTTGGTCCCGTGCTACCTGCTCCCCATCTCCCCTCAGGTGCTCCCCCCAGCTGAGGGTAGCCCCCGAGGCAGCCTGGCCTATAAGTACATCATCCACGAGGACCTGCTGCCCCTCATCGGGAGCAACAACGTGCTTCTGGAGGAGACGGATACCTACGAGTGGGCGCTCAAGAGCTGGGCCCCTTGCACCAAGGCCTGTGGAGGAGGTGCTTGCTCTCCTGACCCCCCCTATTGCCCAGTGGGGCACCAGTGACCCTCTGGGAGGAGAGGAGCTGGGTGGGGGGAGGCAGGTGGTGGTCTGGCATTGTCTTCTTTTGACATGTCACTGTGCATGCCTCTGTTTCCCCTAAAGAGTTCCTATGGACCTGGGCTAAGTAGGGATGGGGTGAGGTGCTCCGGGCAGGTCCTCTACCCTTGAGACCTGGCCCCCTGGACACAGGAAGCTGTGTGAAACTACTTCCCACCAATGCTGCACCAGGGAGCAAGAGACAGACCTGATTGAGGGAGACAGAAAGTGTCTTGGGCAGGACGGGGCACAAAGGCATCAGGGAGGGGGGAATTGCCCCCACTCTTGGCTCTCCAGACAGCAGCCCACCCTTCACAGGTATCCAGTTCACCAAGTATGGCTGCCGGCGCAGACAGGACCACCACATGGTGCACCAGCACCTGTGTGACCCCCGGAAGAGGCCCAAGCCTATCCGCCGGCGCTGCAACCAGCACCCGTGCCCCCAGCCCGGGTGAGCACTCTGGAGCCTGATCCCTGCTTCTCACTGTCCTGACCCAGAGGAGGTGCTGCTTGCCATCCCTTCCTAGCTCTGCCTGGGAGCCAGGTTTCAGCAGCTGAGCAGCACCCATTCTCCATGTCCTCTGCGGTTCCTAGGTCACTAATTTTCACCCCTAGAAGAAGGAAGAATCTCCCAGACATGGCTTTCCCCTAGTGATATACAGAGCTCAGATGTGCACTGTGGATTCTGTGCTTTCTGACCCCAGTCCCTAGGCCAGGACACTGTCCACCCCAGACACTTGGCCTGCTAGTTCCCACTTGGGATTTCCCCACCTGAGGACACAGGCCCTGCTGAGCACAAGGTCACATATTGGGGGTTATGAGGAGGAGACTTCAGGGAGAGAAGTGAATGCTATGCCTTGTGATGGACTCTAGGTCAGGGACAGAGTGCACGTGTAATCCAGAGCCAGGATGGGGGCTGGCGGCCAGCACTAGAGTCTGTGATGGCTATACTATACCCAGCCTGGGCTGAAGTATCCAGCCCCTCCTGTGCCCACAGCTTCGTACCCACCCTCCATGCTGTCCCTGTACCCTTCCACTCAGACTAACATCACAGAAGTGACCACAGAGCCTGCGTGCAGGGTTGACCATGTGCACCCCCATGGAAGGGGGTCTCTGGGAAAGTGTGGCTTTGGTTTGTTTTGTGCCGTGCCTCTGTGCCCAGGATTGTCCTAGCACATGGGAGACACTCAAGTATCTAAGGGATGCTGTAACAATTCTGATCCAAAGAGTGGTCACCCGGTTTAGTGGGGCATATAATAGTCTGCCTCAGGACACAAAGGGTGCCTGGCTTCAATTTGTTATCTTGCTTCACTTCAGGAAATAGTAACGGGGCATGGTGGTACATGCCTATAATCCCAGTACTTGGGAGACTGAGGCAGGAGGATTGCTGCAAATTCGAGGCCAGTGTGGGCTACAAAATGAGTTCAAGCTAAGCATGGTGGCACATGATTTGTAATCCCAGTACTTGAGAGGCTGAGGCAGGATTGTTGCAAGTTCAAGACCAGTCTGGGCTACAAAGTGAGCTTGAGACCAGCCTGAACTGTGTAGTGAGTCCCTGTCTCAAAAAAACAAAAACAGCAGGAGGAACTATAACCTTGCTGAGGTCACACAGCCAGGTAGCTGCAGCGCCAGGTGGAAAGTTGGCTTGGGCCCTGAACATTCTGATGCCAAACCTACTCTAGCTGTTACCTGTTGTCCATCTGAGGGTGGGAGGTGACATGTGGGAGGTAGTGTCTGCTTGGTCCATCTCCCCTCCTTATGTCCTGACTATTCCCAGATGGGTGACGGAAGAATGGAGTGCCTGCAGCCGGAGCTGCGGGAAGCTGGGGGTGCAGACTCGGGGGGTACAGTGCCTGCTGCCCCTCTCCAACGGCACCCGTAAGGCCATGCCAGCCAAGGCCTGTCCTGGTACCCGGCCTGAGGCCCGGAGGCCCTGCCTCCGCATTCCCTGCCCAGCCCAGTGGCGAATGGGAGCCTGGTCCCAGGTGAGTGGTCCTCAGCAGGTGAGAGGCACTCAGGAGAGAGGCTCCAGGAGCCAAGGGTAACATCCCTATATCCCACAGGAACAAATTAAAGCACATCCTTAACTTCCAGAAACACTTATAAACCAGGCATTGTACAAAGCGTGCCAGGAACCCAGCATCAGACAGGACAGGATTTCACTTGCAGCTTACAGTCCCCTGAAGGAGACATAATAGACACATAAACCAATGACAGAAGTAGCATTCACAGATCAGGCTGCAGGATGGTGGGAATGGGACCAAAACTGAGAGTAGTCAGAGAGGGCCTGCTTTAAGCAGCACATAATAAGTATTTTTAAAGATCCAGAAATCCCTGCTTGAGGTTGGGGCTGTGTGTGGCTCAGTGGGAGAGCACTTGCCTAGCATGTTTGAAGCCCTGGGTTCTGTCTCCAGAATACACCGATAAATAAATGAATAGCAAAATAACCCTACTCAATGAAAATTTTACATTCTTCTCCATAACATACAATTTTGTTTTAATACAACGATTACTGGTCCTTGATGGTCCCAAAGATAAATTAACAGAGAGGTGAGGAGGTAGAAAAGAGAGTTCCTGTGAGGCTGGCCAGTGCTCCAGAGTGCATGTTGCTGCTTTTTGTGTGACTCTGGTCTGTTATTTGTCCTGGGAGAATGAACCATGGTTGTCCCATGGTGGCCCCTTGACCTTAATGTATCACGCAATGGTCACATGCTCAGTATGCAAGCTCTCTCCTGTCCACTGGGAGCAAAGAGTAGACTTTGGTCAGTGCTAGAAAGTGACTCACTCACAGTGGGCAAACTTGCTTTCCTGGGGTCCTTGTCCTGCCACCAGGGCCCCTCCCCCAAGCCACTTGTCACAGTGGGAAGAGTATTAGGTGCAGGGGACGTGGTGGGTGGCAGCCCTTGCACCTACAGTCTGTTTGTCTTTTGCTCGGTGCACCTGTGCCTTTCCCCTCTGAGGAAGGAGACGCTGTAAACATGCCTCTGCGAGCCAGTATTGGGTAAATAGAGCCATGGGGTCATTGAATGTCAGAGATAGAAGGCTTCATAGAGACTCTGTCACTTAGGTCTCTTGGGTTATAGAGTTGGGAACAGAGTCAGAGGGACAGCAGACATCATGATCCAGCTACCTGCCCTTAACAAGACACCAAGCAAATTGTCCTGCCCCAGCTCACGCCACATAACGGATCACAACAGGGGTGATCATAGACTGTTTGAGAACCTGGGCACAGAGCAGGCACATGGATGCAGGTGGTGGTAGCTGGAATGAGGTCCCAGAAGTCCCCTCTCAAGCTAGAGATTCACTTGGGTTTAGGTTTAAATTATGCAAGGGCCCAAGGAGCTTGGGTGGCAGCCCTGCCCCTGGTTAAGAACCTGAGGACAGATGTGGTATCATGGCATGTGTTTGGAAGCAGTTCTTGCATGTCAACCGAGGACATTCTCCTGCCTGCTGTCCTTGGGCTCTGGCTGGACTCTGAGCTCATGGTCATCCTCTGTCTCTCCCCACACCACGCTGATCGCCACTCTGTACAACAGTGCTCTGCCACCTGTGGAGAGGGCATCCAGCAGCGGCAGGTGGTGTGCAGGACCACGGCCAACAGCCTCAGGCAGTGCGAGGGCGACAAACCAGACACCGTGCAGGTCTGCAGCCTGCCCGCCTGTGAAGGTGAGAGAGGGGGGTCGGGGAGGCCCAGCCCAGCTTCTCTGGCCTTAACCTTGCATCCAGGCCTCAGACATCCCAAATACAAATTGAGTACCCTTCATCCAAAAATCCAAAATCCAGAATTTACAGCTTTTCGAGGGCTAGTGTGATGCCGCAAATGGAAAATCCCACACCTGACCTCATGGGATGGGTCTGGGTCAAAACGCAGATACAAAACCCACATTTTAATCAGCTTCCCCACAAGGAAAGGGCACCCTCAGCTGTGAGGCACAAGTTTTATTCCATCCCCTAAATTATTAAAATTTAAAACTAGGGGCTGGAGATTTAGCTCAGCACATAAGCACCTGCCTTGCAAGCAGGAAGTCGTGAGTTTGATCCCCAGTATCGATAAAAAAAAAAAAGCAAAAAAAAATTTAAAACTAGTAATTACAATAGCTCTAACTAGTTAATAACTTAAACTTTAGAAATATTAACAATTAATATCTCTTATAATAATTATTTAAAATATTTGCATAAAGTTATGTTCATGACTTATCTAAATTATGAATTGCATGTTTAGACTCAGGTCCCATCCTCTTATGATGTATGTAAAAATATTCTAAGCTGTTTCGGTCTGAGCGTGTTGGATTAGGGGTGCTCCCGGTACTGAGGCGCCTTTTTCCTTGCAGGAAGTCTCCATAACTCCACAGCAACAGCAGAGATCCAGGAACTCGTGACCCTAGCGGGACAGCAAGTGTCAGAGGCAGGGTCCTTGCCTCCCATAAACAAGATATCGCCAAGTAAGTGCAGCCCGGGGTCCCCTCCTTTCTCCCTGAACCTTTGGGGGTGGGGGTCTCAGGGTCCTGAACACAGCTGTGTAGCAGCAGAGACTCTGCGGCAGCCTGGGTGGCCCAGCCTCCCCGAGCCTCAGGGTCTGCAGCTGGGAAATGAGGACACTGCCACATTGGTCCATTTCCTCTTCTCTGCAATTCTAAAGATGCTGTAGGCCAAAAGCTCCTTCCACCCCCTCGCCACTGAATTCAGTGCACACTTCTTTGGTGACAAAATCTGAACTGGACTAGCGCAAGATCATGCATGTTTCTGCTACAGAAACACTGCCCTACACAATTACTTTTCCGAGCCCAGAAGGCCTGAATTGTGAGTGTTATCTGGTTCTAAGATTTTTAGATAAACAGCTGTAAATCTGAGTTGTCCTCATAGGGCTACCGACAGGGTCAAATGAGGACACACATGTGCTCCTGCCCAGCTCTGCTAAGAGCGGCAGAATAGGAGGAGCAGTTTCTTTCTGCCCTGTGACCACAGCCAGGCAGTTAACCCTCTGTGTCTCCATTCTGATATAAAGCAGGCTACGTGGTCCCGCCCCCAGGTTCTTTTCTTTCTCTTTCTCACCTCCCGAGAACCAGGGTCTGGCAAGGTAATTAGCAGCAAGATTAAACTCTGCTCCTAGAGAACAGGTGCGGCTGTGTGACGCTGTACACACCTCTCAGTCTCCTCGCTTCTCTGCTCCTGGGCGGAGGCTCAGATTAGGCGGGGTCCCGGATACTTTTCTTTTCCTCCCAGAAGCAAACAGTGGGGTCCTGATTCTGGGCCTGGACTTTTGGTGCCACCTAGAGGCCACTGGCTTTGCATTTTCTCTGATCTGTTCCTTTGAGCCCCCTGCCCCCAACTGTCTTTGGCAAAACCTAGTAGAAGGCCACATTCTGGCCTTCACATTCTGCTCTGAGGGCCCTGCCTGTATTAACCACGGAAATGTGCTCAAATGCTACTTAAAGCAAAGCAAATGTGTATCACAAGCATCTATGCCAGCCACATAATGTCATTTATAATTGTAATATTACCGTCCACTGCATTATCTTTATTTTACAGACAGAGAAACTGAGGGTCAGAGAGTTTTGAGGACGTAGCCAAGGCCTCACAGTGTTTCACTCTAGACTTCAATCTCAGCCTGCTTGCTTGCAGAGTTCGTGGTGGAGGGCTTAGTGGTTCAGAGTGTACCAACTGCTGGCAGATCACTGAACTGCTTGTTACCCTGGGCATGTGCTCCCTGAACATTGGCCTGACTGCAGCTGGAGAGGTCATAGTGCTTTGGGTTGATTGGGTAGGGCAGGGACTCCTGTTTCTGACCAGAACAGGATTTTTGAACTTTGCTGCAGGCTAGGCTCACCCCAGGGCCTGGCCATACCCTAGACTACCCAGGCTTCCTGGGGCGTGCTGAGGCTGCCAGGTGATTGTGGAGCAGCCAAGTTGGTGGTGGACAATCACACAGAGCCCCAGTTCTTGGCTTTTCCCACATATTGGATCCCCTGGAGGGTTCTGTTGAAACTGCTGTCCCTCACTGCAAGTTTCTGATGCACTAGGCCAGGGTGGTTTGTGAGTGAGGCCCCTGCTGAGATCTGCTTTCCTCTCCCATGTAGAAGGGCTGCTTTCTGCCAGGTGGCCCGTGGCCCCTCTGGCCTAAGCGGAGTAGTGAGTACAGCAGGGCTGGGGGTGGAGGGTGGGGTTTGGTTACCTGGCCAGCAGGCATTTCCTAGCACTGTCCTGTTCTGTGTGCAGCAGAGCCCTGCGCGGGAGACAGGTCCATCTTCTGCCAGATGGAAGTGCTTGATCACCACTGTGCCATCCCTGGCTACCACCAGCTGTGCTGTGAGTCCTGCTCCAAGAGGGTCTCAGGCCCCAACACCAGCCTAGACCCTGACCTGGCCTCTACACCCACCTCCCCCACTCCTGGGAGCCCCTTACCACAACCCAAGGCCACTCGTGACATCATGGAGCCTACCATGGAGCCAGCAGGACCTGATGACCATCAGCATGGCCGACCCACACAGCTCCCAGGGCCACCAGACATGAGGTCCTCAGTCATCCAGCCTCATTCTGTCCCGCAGACCCTGAGCCCCAGAGCATTTAGGGACACTTCCCCTACCACGCCCCAGAGACCACCTTGGGGTTGGACCCCAGCATCTGTGACAGCCTCTGAGGACCATGGGCAGCCCAGAGAGGAATCGAGGCATCCAGGAACCGGCCTTCCCACCACCTCCCCCGTAACATGAGCCACACCGTGCCATCCTGCCAGTCACGTTTACACTCTGCGTGCTGCCCTGGTGGACTCAGAGCTCAGGGGACTCAGAGGACTCATGCAGCAGGGCAAGGGCAAGCACGGACTTCGTTTTTAAGTTATTTGTCTTCTCATTCTTGTTTGGGGCCATGATGCTCTTTCCCAAACGATGGAGTGGGAGGCAGAAGATCAGGGAAAGCCCAAACTGGAGATACCTCAGCCAACAGTGCCAGCCTGGACCTCTCAGGAGTTCCTGGGGTCTCTCAGAACTGAGAGTCTGCCAGCGCCCTTCCCCAAGCCACCAGGGCCCAGGTTAGGTCTGAAGTTCATACCAGAAGCTGTCAGGGCTGCCTGCTTTCCCAGGACTTGTGGGGACAGCATGGCACAGTGGGCAGAGGGCGGTGAGGGTGTTCACAAGGCAGGCTGGGAGCAGGACCTGGAACGAGCACAGTGGCCAGGCCTCCCTCCTGTAGTATGGGCTAGAGCACAGGCGAGCTCACCTCAGGCCCGCTGTCCTCAGTTGAGGGCCCCATGCAGTTTCACAAGCCAAGCACTGGGGCAGGGGCCCTCTCACTTCTACTGGCTGGAGAGCAGAGTTTGTGGCTATACTTTGCCACTGTGGATGTCACTTGTTATTCCTGAGTCAACGTTACAGAGCGGTCACACACCCAGCCCACGGAGGAGGATGCCCAGGGCTTGCTGGCCCCCAAGTCCTCATCATCAGGGGTTTCCAAACTGGTGCTGGACCCCTGGCTGGACCAGGAGTCAGCCCTGCAGAGGGAGGAGTGGACCGGCCTGGAAGGTGACTGTGGGATACGTGGGAGACGTGATTTCTCAGGCTGGGCCCCTCTGTCATTGTCCTTGCCAAAGTTTACTCCTGCTGGAGTCAGGGGTCTTCTCCCACTTGGCTTGAGCCATGCCTGGAGTGTGTGATGCTCTGAGGACCAGAAAGCTACTCAGCCAGGCCCAGAGGGTGAGAGGGTGAGAAGGGGGGGGCCTCTGGCCCCACGCTGGAGTGGGGAGGGCACACTGACCCGTGGTGCTACAGGGGCTCAGCCAGGCCAGCTGCCCTTCCTGCCACCTCCAAGAGGCAGGCAACAGCTCTAGGCTCTCTGGATCTCAGGGAGTAGCTTCAACTTCCAGGATGCTTCTAGGGGTTTTCATTCCTGGGGTCTGGAGGGATCTCAGAGCTCTCAGATGAGTCTGGCTCATAAAGGTGCTTGTCAGTCTCCCTTCCCAGGCAGCAATGGGGTCCTGCCCTGCAGCCTTAAGTAGTTGGGGTTCCAGGGCCTCCAGGTATTCTCCCAGGCCTGCCCTCCCCTCTGTAGGTTGCTGGGGCACACACCAAAGCATTCCTGTGAGAACCAGCCTGGCCTGGGCAAAGGAGTGTAAACCCTGTGCTTTGGAGACCCGGATCTCTGAAATGTTATGTATTTATTAACATTGCCCTTGGTGTTTTGTTTTGAACTCCAAAAAGTGTTGCTCTGTGCGTTTTTCTTTTTTCTTTGTTTTGGGGAAAGGGGACAATGGAGCCAGAGCTCTAAGAGGCTGGCCTGGGCTATAGCAAGATGATGAAGGGTGAGGGCCACCAAGGAGCTGTGTGGCCTTTCAGGTCACCACTCAAAAGAGTGGAAATACCTGGGAGGTAGTTTTGGGATCTGAAGAGACAAAAGTGTTCTAATAATCAGAGCTTTCCAAACCTCCCTTTGGGAGCTGTCCTGAAAACAGCTGCCACTCAGGCCTAGAAGTGCTCGTGAGGTGACCCATCACACCTTAGGAAGACGATGAAGGAGATGCTAGCCCAGGCCTCAGAAGCAGTCTGAGGATGGTTTAGGAAGGAATTCTGTGAGCACAGGAACCCAAAGCGTAGCCTACAGAGAAGAGGATCATGGGCTTGGCCTGGCAGTCTTTGCCATGGGCAGAGTAACAGCGGTCCTGATACACTGCATGGGGCAGTGATAACACATGCAAAGAACATGCCTGTGAGCCTATCTGGTGCCTATGGCAGACATGACCAATTTATCATTGCACAGTTCCCTGTGAGCCCAGATTTCCCTAAGAATCCTCCACGTAGTACTCTGGGCAGTGGACACTCACCACTACCATGGTCAGGACAAGCAACAGGGATGTTACATCAGCAATTTAAAATTCACACCACTGCAAGTCTTTCCCAGTCAGCATCTCAGGCAGAAGCATAGCATCTAGAAGCAGAACCACAGCACCTGAATTGAGGAGGGACCCAGAGACCAAGGGAAGACCCTAGGATCTTCCACAGGGCCCAGCAGGGGTGAAACGTGTCCAGGAAGCCTTCAGGCTATCGCATTCTGCGGGGCCTCTACCCATCTGCTCACCTGGCGAGGAGGATGGGAACAGCAGCTGGCCTAGCCTACTTCTGAAAACAACGTCTGTGCTTTGTAACGATGAGAGGCCTCCCAAGGATGAGGTGGATCACTGGGTTCTTCCTGAGTAGGGCTCAGGAGAGCCAGTCAGCTTAGGGGACAAGGCCACTGTTGCCCATGCACAGCAGTGGGCTTGCCAGAGCCCCGGGCTGGGCCCTCCCACTTCTCTAGCCTCACTATGGCCTTCCCACCTCTGCAGGTCCATGGCTGTCCAGACTTGGATTGGGCCATGAAACCCCGAATGCCACAGGGGTTGGGATGTGGTGGCTCAGTGGTAGAGCTCAGCATAATGAGACTCTGGGTTCGATCCCCATTGCTGGAGGGAGAGACTCACTCTATCCTAACAAGAAGCAAAATCAGGAAAGCAAGTGTGAACTAATTTCCAAATGGTGACAAGCCTCTCTGGATACAGGACACACATAGTGTCTGTCTCAATTTTGGTGAGATGGGGTAGAGGTGACCACTGTAAGATCAGATAAGAAAGTGCAAGTCAAGTGTTAATAGATGTGAACAGTGTGTGAACTTTGGACTCACTAGCAGCCATGTGCATGAGGGAGTTTTAAAAAGCAAGACCCATTTATAGTAGCATCAAAAACATCAAATACTATGCACTAGAATCTATGAAGCATTATGGAGAAAAATTTTAAAATACCTTTGTAAAAGTAAGCCATACTTCTGAATCATAAACTTCAGTGTTGCTAAGACACCCGTCTTCCTCCAGGGTGATCATACACTGGCTATGAGGCTTGTCCAAGGAGCCTCAAAAGTGCTCACCATGGCTGTCCTCTGTGTAACAAGCCCCCTGGGGGCTTCAGCTCTGCAGGCTTGGAGGGAAGGCAACAAGAGGGCTGGACATTAAAGAGGGCAGGAGACTTTCCTCCAGGGGGCACTCAGCCTCCCCGTGTTCATGGAAAGCAACCTGACCCCATGAGGCAGCTTGGCCTCTGGGCTGTTTTCTTGTTGCAGACCCCTCGTGGTGGACGCCCAGGCCTGCCTTATGAAACACACAGTAGGCAGGGGAGGAGGTAGGTGTGGAGCCTGGGCCTTCTGAACAGAGCTCTGCGGATTCTTCCTGCAAAGCCTCTGCTTCCTGTTGTGTTCAAGTGCCTGTGTCTTGGGGCAAGGTGTGTGTGTTGGGGCGTGGGATGGGGAAAAGAAATGACAGGTAAAGAGTGTGTCTGGATGGTGTCTAGGGACACACCTGTCGCTGACCAGAAGTTTCCAAGGCTTATCCCCAAATCCTTTTCTAAAGCTTTATATGTGAATTGTATGTTCATTATTGAGAAAATTTAAAACCTGATGAGAAATAAAATCCCTTTTAGCAGTAACTCCCACCAACAATTTGATAATCCTTCCAGGTGTGTGCCTATATATAAATATATCTACTACTACTCACACACACACATGTACACACACCACACACTGGTCGCCGTTACAGTGCCTGCCATTAGCAACTTGGTCCCCCCACACCACTTCCGCAGCAAAAGACACCTTCTCATCATGAAATATGGTGAGCTATGTCTGCATTTGTTGTTTTGTTCTGTGTTACTTTGCTTTGCTTTGAGATATGGCTTTGCTGTGTATTAAACTGCCTTGAACTCACTGTGCAGCCCAGGCTGTCCTCTAAATTGTGGCAATCCTCCTGCCTCAGCTTTCTGCGTTCTGGAATTACAGGCATGCACCTGGCTACATCTTCATTTCTGATGACCACATGGTACTCCACTGTCTAGTAGATGATCATTTATTTAACCAGATCCTCTAGTCCTGTAAACCTAGGTTGCTTCTCAGTTTTGGTGTTGTAAATAGTGATGTGAGGAAAACAACCCTTCACACTTACATGATTTATCCTAGAAAACATTCCAAGTACAGAAGGGTGCAAAATGTACCCAAACGTCTTCTTGAAGTCACTTGATGCACATTTCTAAATCATCTTCCTGGTAGTACTCTCTGATGGTTTAATAATATTGCACCCCAAATACTGTGACGTTTGATTCTTATCATCTTCTCTCAAAACACCTGCAGAAGAAGTCCTGAGCCTCCTAACAGGTGACACATCTGTATTTGCTGTGTATATGGCAAGAACTGGCATTCACAGGGATATCCCCAAGAGCCTGGGACAGTCTGTGGGCCTCTGAATCATCAGTGTCAGCCGACCATCCTGCCTAGTGGCCAGTCGGCTGCAGAGGCGGAGCAGGTGGGCCAGAGGTGGGGGGCCAGGAGTGAGAGACCTTGGTGTGCCAGCCTTGCCTGAGAGTTGGGCTATTACTACCTACCTCACTGCAAGATGGAGAAAACCACCCAGGCCCCATATTCAGTCTACTTTCCCAACAACCTTTTATACAGGAAATGGGTACATTTACAAATAATGGTTCTCATAGTCACTCTCCATGTGACTGACCTCCATGAAGTCTGTCCTTACCCTCGGCCAAGGAAGTGCAGAGCTGGCTACTAGGCAAAACTAAGCGGTCAGCAAACACTTGTGCAGTGGTTAGAATTGGATCCCCTGCTGCTAATTTCCTGTGATTTGCAGTGCAATTTTTTTAAAAAAAGTCTCGCATAAGAACTCTCCTTGCTCTATGACTGGGAACAAACACTTCTGGGTCTCCCAGGGCTCAGCTGCTTCTATAAAATGAGAGCATGAGCCACAAACTCGTTGGGCAATGGTTCCAGCCAAGAAAAAGTAGAAAGCACTTCAGATTGTCCGAGGGCCTGGAGGCCATTACTGCCTGCGTGCAGAACAATGAGGTCACCCGAGAGCTGAGTAAGCTGCATAAAGGGGCTGTGTATAGGTCGGGGCTCGCAAACTCAAGGCGAATCTTATAAACAAGCTGAGGACTGTGGTGCCTGAGAACAAATGCCATGTGGACTGAGATCTCCTGTTTCCATGGCTTCAAGAGAAAACTCAAATACTAATGTATAAATGTTCACACAAAAAGTTAATACTTCAAAGACCAGATGAAACTTGTCAGTGGTCTGGGTTTGGCATGTGACCGCAGCATGCAGCCTCTGATCTGCAGAACTGGGCACAAGAGCTGGGCACAGCTGTGGTAGAGACATCCTTTTGGGCTGAGCTAGAGACAGATCTTTGGGCTAGGTGTTCCCAGGCCCTCTATAAGCGTTTATTAGTAATAAACTAGTAATAAGCCCCTCTGAGCCCCTCTGATCCCCTTTCTGAGCGGTCTTTTCCAGGTCCAGGATGGGAAGCTCCAGGTCAGGTCACATTAAAGAGCCAGAAGGAGACCCCTGCCTCAGCTTTGGCTAGAGCAGCCTGGCGGAGGCACTGCTGGATGGTTTGGAAGAAAGGGTAGCCAGGTGAGAGACTTCGGCTGGAAAGTCAAGAGAACTGAGTTCTGGTACTGTTACAGTTCAGATCTGGGAGTCCCCTAAGAGCCTCATGTTTGAAGGTCGGGCTTTTGGAAGGTCATAGGGGGCGCTCTGCTTATTAATGGCCCGATCCACTAGTGAGTTCAGCAGCCCAGTGTGCTCATAGGAGGCGGGCCTCGCTGGAGATGGGCCGCCGAGGTCTCCTCCTCTCACTCCGCTTCCTGACCCATGATGCGAGCCGCTGTCCTCCACCCAGGCCCTTTTGCCAGTCTGTTTCAGCATTTGAGCCTACTAACCATGGCCTGAAGCTTCTGAAACTGTGAGCCAAGATAACCCTTACCTCCTTTACATTATGGGCATCAGGTATGTGGTCCCGGTGACGAGGACAGTGACTAAGACACGTGCTATCCCTGATGGGAGTTCCATCACTCTCTGTGCCTCAGTCTGCTGTGTCCATTAAATGCATGGGTGGCCACTTACTAACTAGTTACCTAACCTCTCTCTGCCTTAGTTTCTTTCCCTGAAATAGTATCTCATCTTTAAAAGGATTAAATAAGATACTGAGTACAAAATGTTTAGCATGGCCGCAGGGGCATAAGCACTTAACACATGTGAGTTTTATTCTTGGCAGTTCCATGTGATTCTATAGTTTGAACTTGAAAGCACAGCTTATTGAGCAACTAAGAAGGTGCCGTAGGACTGGGGGTGCAGCTCAGTTGTAGAGTATCTGCCAAAGGACGAGGTCTTGGGTTCAATCCACAATCCCACAGGAGGAGGACAAAGGGAAAGAGGTCAGAGAAAGGAGAGGCATGAATCTTTAATGATTCATTTTGATGCAACAGACTGATGCCCAAAGAAGAGGAACTTGGCCAGGGACAGTCAGCTAGCTGGGGGCAGGACCAGGTGCCCACCCATGGCTGATCCCTAACAGGGTTTTAGGAGTCGCCCTCAGAGGTGCACACTGATCACTGGCCTTTCCTCTAAGTGCTGTCCTTGGCCAGGGCTGGATAGCTGGCCACGACCCTGCATACACAGCAAAACTGTCACCCACTATCACATTTGAGTGATCCTCCTCTATCTAGAGGAGATGAGCAGATCCTGGAAAGCTGATACTAAGCACTGTTTTTGTTCCCCTTCCTGTTCACAGGAAGACAGACTCCGAGCAGTAATGACCCTTAGTTAATGATCTCTGGTAGTGACAAAAGCTTAGCTGAGTGGGCAAACAGAGCAGGGTTCTGTGGATGCCATACCAGTGATTAGAGTATAATCAGGCAGGGCATCAGAACTCAAGCCTGGGGTCTGATAAAAGCTGATGGACTGACCTGGTAGAAGGGCGCGGGATGAGAAGGGGAGAGAATGTGTCTTGAAGTTTCTGGGAGGGGGAAGTGTCTGTTGCATACTGGTGGTTGTTTCCGATGCATGTTGGGAAAAATAAGGATTAACTAGGGACTGGTACTTCTAGGAGGCCAAGATGGCCACGCACTTGGGTCTCCCCAGAATAAGCTAAACTAGCAATGGTGACTCTAGGGCTTCACTAGGAGGAAAGCAAAAAGAGGGTGATTGTGACATTTTTACAGCTGCGTGTGGCCTGGAGAAAAACCACATGTCTGCTTGAAATAAAATGGATTTGGAAAAAAAGAAAAAGAAAAAAAACCCCACATGTCCTGTAAATCTTGCAGGGAGCACTGTCCCTGTCTGGCCCCCACTTGACAGGGCTAAGTTGTGTATTTTCAGTCTCCAGGGTTGATTTTCATGCTTTTGGTTCTGCTCAGGGTTTTCACTCCTTCACAAAGGAGTCAGCAGCTCCTAAAACACAGTTACTCTTCTGGCATCTTTGCTGCTATTTCTTTCATTTTGCACAATGAACTGACCAGAGGAAATATAAGCAGCGAGGAATGGGCCATTTATGCGAACACCGGTCTAAAGCGAGGTGGCACAGCTTAGGCCAAGTGGGATGAAGACTCCAACAGTGAACATGTGCCTGGTGCCCTACAGCTGTGCAGCTACAGCTGGTCTTGTGGTCGGGGCAAGGAGCATCTCAGATGGAGAGAGAAACGCTGCCACTAGGCACTTTTATTTTTCCCACCTGCTGGCAGGAAGAAAGCATATAAGCAATAATTACCTTACGTTAATAATCTCTGGGAGCAAACAAGACCTTAGCTTAGTGGAATTTGTGAGCTGCTGAGTTACACAAACATGAACAAAACCTCTGAGGCACTTTCCTTGTAGAGCTAGAAGAGTTCCAATTGGAATGGAATATGTTTGCATGCAAAGTAGGAATTTTGTTTTTAAAGACTCACTAAGATCTGAATAGACAGTTCTGCAAAACAGATGTGCAAATGGCCAATGAAGTACAAACTTATGGGAAAGACCATTTATGTGAAAGACCAGAATAGGCAAGTCAATAGGCAGAAACTAGAGGAATCTTTCTATGACAACATTATTTCACACAACAATGCTCTCAAGGTTACTCTTGTATCAGAATGCCCTGCCTTTTAAAGGCTAAATATTATTTCACTGGATATTTATGGATATACCACATTTCTTTTATCCATTTATTTATTGATGACAGTGGGTTATTTTTGTCCATTGCAAATAATGCTACTATGAGTACAGCTGATTTTTATGTCACATGTCCCTAACGGATCTAGAGAAAGCTAAGGTCATGTAGCTAGAAAGTGAAGTTTCTGTATTTAGAATCCAGATTCATCAGAATGCGGAGTCCTGCTCTCAGTCGGGGACACCAGGCCTGCCCCTCAATTTGAGCCATGCCCATCACCAAGTCATGGATTTTGTTACAGTTGTATGATTCCTCGATGTTTCTTTACATTTATCTCTTTTTCACCAAAATAGATACAGTTTTGTCTAAGCAGTAATATGCACGCACCATTGTTCTGATGTGTTGTTTCTCATACACATGAAATTAAATACAGATGTGTAGATACAAAATGTTCCTTTATGCCACCTGAGTTTGTTACACTGGGTATTTTGACCATACATCGGAAAACCCTGATTAGAATGATTGGAATTTGAAGAGGAGAGAGCCACTCCTAGGAGTCTTGGCTTCAGAATACACAGGACAGTGAGTGTCCCAGTGACCCAGTTCCTGGCTGCTCCTTGTCCATTTGCTAGCTCAACAATCAGGTTCTCTTTTACTTCATCAGGAATGAGTAGGCTGGAAAGTCATCTTAAGTGACAAGGGAAAGGTGTCCCAGAGCACATGGAAAACCCTCACTGTGGCACCCACAGGTAGGTCCAGCCATGGCATGGATTTCTCAGCAACAGAAATGTTGGCTGACATCTTTTCTGACTGCAAACCTTAGCTCTGCCCAGGGAGCCACAAAGATCAAGTCTTTCTCCTCATCCTCTATCCATCTAACCTTCATCTTTATCAAGCCTCTTTTACTAGCCTTGCTCAGACCACATCCCCTTTTGGTGCTAGGGATTGAACCCAGGACCTCATGCATGCTACAACCCCTAACTCCAGCTATACATTCTGACATGAATATTACTCTACTATTTTTGCTAACTCTGATTTTTCCAGGTCTCCTGATGACATGTGACATAAAAATCAATCACTTTTGTATAGCTCTACTCATAGCAGCACTATTTGCAGGGGGCAAAAGTGGGAACAACTCAATATCATCAATAGATAAATGGATAAAAGAAGTGTGATATATCCATGCAATGAAAGAGTTTGCCTTAATAGGGAAGGAAATTCTGGCACAACGCTAAACCTTGAGGACATTAAGTTCAGAGAAATAATCTAGAGACAATAGACAATATTGTATAATTCTATTTATATGAGGAACCCAGAGTAGCTAAATACACAGGTACAGAAAAAAAAGGTGGTTTCCCGGGGTTGAGGCAGAAAAAATGGGGTTCAGCGTTTCAGTTTTCCAAGGCAGGTTCTGCCACTGAACTGTTCGCTTAAATATGGCTAAGATGGTAAACTTATTATGCATATTTCACCACAGTTTAAAAATTGGAGAACTAAAGTGGGATTTCTGGGGGCAGACTGGTGGCAGGGGAAAGGCTGAGAGAAGCCCAGGTATTGCATGTGGAAGAGAGGCTGAGGACTCTGGAAATGGGGTGGTTTAATACTGTGAAGCTGTTTGCTGGATTCGCAGCAAATTCCCACCCAGCCTGAAACCTGCCAAGTTGTGTGTGAATGGGGATTTGGACACCACTACTGGAAGAGAAGTCCTCTGAATGAACAGGCTGTGCAGCAGTACCAGAAGCACAGGCTGGAGTCACCTGGCCCATGAACTAAGTCTGGCGAGTCACAAATGGCCATGGCTTTGTAAATCCTCCCCAGCTTTCTGTGTGTTTCCCAGGGGGTCAAAGCTACCGTCTCTAAATCTAAAGGACAGCGACACTATGGCTGTCATCTGGATCATGCTTATAAATACTCCTTTTTTCCTCGATGTAGCTGACTCTTTATACTTTTCAGAAATGTAACCCCAGCTTTTGTGGAGAGTTGTTGTGTGAGCCAGGGTTCCAGAGCTAGACATCTAGGGTTTAATCTTTGCTCTGCCATTTGTTAACTGTGACTTTGGACAAATTGTTTCACCTGTGGCTCAGTTTATTCACTTACCAAATGGGGCAATGACATTAATAGCCTACCTATGGGGCCTTTTGGGAGAATCACATGTGGTACTGTGTAGTTACATAGAACAGTTCCCCACATGGCACATGTCATCAGCTATTATCTGTCTCTGCCTCAGTCCCTGGCGCATAAAGGAATGATTCTTGGCAAGAATGATCATCCTAAGGAGAATGTGGGTTCCCTGACCCCTGTTCTAACAAATCCAGAGCCTGTGGTGTTTGGTTCCAGAATGTTTCTCAGCTGTATCTCAGTTTACCAGAATGTAAAAGACCCAGGTCAGCTCCTGTGGACAGCAGCATCTGTGCTTTCTCCGTGGGAGTGGATGTTTCAAGGAGCTCTCTCTCTTCTGAGAAACAACCCCAAGCTCAGAACTCCTTCAGCCAGGAGAGGGGCACTGTCCCTTCCAAAGGAAGATGGGGCTTTATTAGCAGACTCTGGTAGATGATTAGGGGCTCCTTGCAGGTGGTGGGGCAGGGACTCCTGGAACTCACGGGCCGCCTGAGGGCGATGCGGGCAATGCAGGCGAAGTTACCTAGCTCTGCCCTGTCACCCTCAGCTCTCTGCCTTTGGCTTTGATGTGTTCTCTTCTGGGTCTTTGCCGAAGTGCACCTGGAGGACTTGGGCTTTTCCGATGTACACTGGGGAGGAAGAAAGGCCGTGCAGGGGAGCTTCCCAGCAGGCCCCAGGCTGACCCTTCCCCAGAAAGGCCCCCTGCGGATATGTGGGATCAGATGGGGAGGAGACCGGGTCCAGCACAGCTCCTGCCTTCAGCTTAGCTGGGGAATCAGGACATGAGGATTCCCTTCACTGAGCCCCACTGTCCTTTCCTTTCAACATCCAGGGAACAAATAGTAAGTGCCCACCCTGTGCCAGGCACTGCTGGGCCATGTACCTGTGCTATAACAGCAAGTATTTTAAAAACTGGGGTTTCATTACTATGCATACTAACTCCATTATGTATTTTATATACGGCCTGAGACAGTTTCTCTTCACTCAGTGCCACTCAAACAAGGCCAACCCCTGGGTGCAGGGTGGCCGCACCTACTTTACAGCCTGACAGAGGTGGGTGAGGCTGGGCACTCCTATTTGTCCTCTCCTCTCTCTCCAGTCCATTCCCCTCCCGCAAAGGCACCTGGATGCCTACGGGGCCTCCCCCCATGCCCTTGATGGGAGACCACTCTCTTGACTTTCCCTGCAGGCTGTCTCTGCCCACCTGCCTCGTCTCCCCTGTATCACTGTCCCCTCCCCATAAGGCCTACCCCCGGGCCACCTGGCCTGCTTTTCCACTAACATGCTGGGCAGGTGGGACCTCTGCTTAGGCTCTCCCTCACCCTCAGAGAGCTGAATGCTTCCTGAGGGTCAGCTCCAGGAACCTCCTGCCCCAAGTCTTACTCATCCCCACCACACCCACGTGCTTTACTCTCCCTCCTGCATACCCCAGGCTTTTTTTAAATTTGTTTGCATACCTCCTTCTAAGATACTGAGCCCCATGGCACAGAAAGTTGTCTGAATTGTTTCCCAGCACATAATAGTTGCTCAGTAAGTATTTGCTGAATAAATGAATAAGTGAATTCAGTGGCTTTCTCAGGTAGGGACCCATCTTCAAGTTGCCTTGCCTCTCCCAAGGAATCCAGCGTGTCCCTTGTTCCTTCCCTCTTCCCCCCACCTCCTGCGCCCCTCCCCTCATGAAACCTCACCTGGTCTTTCACTTTTGGGTAGAAGTGGTGACTTTGTCTTCTTGTGGGATTGACTACAAACAATACAAAGGAGAGGCTTGGGAATCAGGGCTACCGAGGCCAGGAGATGCAGGTGGGAGGGGTGCAAGTGTCAGCTGCGCACTCTGGACAAGGTGGGTCACCAGACCACCACTGTCCGTGGAGGGACCCGGGCAGCTCCAGCATCCCCCAGCTGTGATTCTGTGCCACTGAAAACTTTTGTCCCTGGAGCTGTAAGGATGGCTCTGTAGCAGCCCTCTCCTCCGGCCTTTGTTTACACCATGGCAGACAGGAAGACACCCTGCATTAGAGCGGGGAAGACAGGACCCCTTCCCCTGAGCTGACTGTGCACGAGGATAGGTCATGATATGTCCATGTGGTGCCTGACGCTGCCCCCGCCCTTTCACACACCCCTTGTCCTTTCCTGCTGCAGCTTCAGGAGGCTGGAAGGCAGGCTTGTCTCAGGTCGACTTCCTCACTCAGCTCTTCCTCCTCTGGCCTCTCAAGGTGGGGAAGAAAACCAAGTCCAGGCCAGAGCAAGAACCCAGGGAACAGAGGGGCAGATGGGGGTGCAGAGCCCACCTGTAAGCCTGCAGCTTCTCTAAAGGTGGTTCTTGAACTTGAAGCTGGTCCAAGAGTGATTCTGCCAGACAGAGTCTAGGGGTTGGGGAGGAGCTGAGCCACAGCAGTCTGCAGGAGTCCCAGAGCGAGGTCTTTCTCTGGAAGCACAGCCCCAGTTAATAGGCTCAGGCCTGTCCCTTTCTGGGATTCCCCTGGCTGCCCAGCCCGAGGCTCAGGCAGCTCTCTCTAAACCTCTACATTCTGCCTGCATCTCTCCTGGCCCCTGTGTCCACCAGAAGTATTTCCATACTTCTGCCCCACCACACAACCAAGGTGCTCCTTGTTCTCAGCCCCACGTAGCACACCACATTGGGCCACCCTCGTCTTCCTCCCTCTGCTCCTCCTCCTCCTGCCTCCCATCACTGGCACCCTCCCACTGAGACAGAACCTCCACCAACTGTCCCACCCATTGTGGATTGTGTGCATATATGTGTGTGGGTTCTTATATTTCCACCTGTGTATGCCTTTCCCACAGCAGCATGGGAAGAACCCTTAAACGTCTCTCTCTACCCTGGTGCCTAGGACTGGGACCAGTTTGAAGAGGGGAGGGTCCTCCAAGGGGCAAAGCTGCAGAGATCCTGCTGGGGACTGGGAGAGGATGAAGCAGGACATTATCCAGCTGGGAAGAGTTTCTCTGGGGCTCAAAAAGGAGGATCTGAGAGACCCTGGGTTGGGAGCAGAGTGCCATTGGAGTCCTGCAGAACCAGAGAATGAGGAGAGGTGGAAGACAAGATCCTGACAGCCTCCATGCAGAGAGGGGACCATGCTCACGTGTCCTCACCCTGAGGGGGTGCGTAGAGCAGCCAGAATTGGATGGCACTCAGTGAATCCGTCTGTAGAATCTGGCAAAGGAGTTCTAGAGTCTGCGGGCAGAAGAATGGGCTGGTGAGACCCCACACACGTTCCACACGGCAGAGCAGGCCACTGTGGGTTTGGGGGCACCAAGTGATCTCTCTCCTTGAAGTGGGCTTGGGAGCCACGCGCTCTGGTTCCCATGAAGGTCCTGCCCCCACTCTCATGGGATCCTGCAATCTACAGAGGACTTTCACAGCAGACCCAAAGGAGTACTCGTTCACTCTCTCCTTCTCCCTTTCTTTTTTCCTCCTATCTCTCTTTTCCTTTCTTTTCTCCTTTTTCCTTCTTGCTGCTTTCTTTTTCTGTCTTTCTGTCTCTTTCTGTCTGCCTCTCTGTCCCTCTCCCCTTTTCATGAGGGGGAATGGAATCCAGAGCCTCACACATGCCAGGCATATACTCTACCACTGAGCTATACCCCCAGCCTCTGGAGGAAGATTTGGGGGTGAAGCTAGGGCCTGTGCACTCAGATTATGTCTTCAGTATCTTTTTTAAAATTTTAAGACAGAATCTTTTAAGTTGCAAAATTGCCCAGGCTGTGCTCAGACTTACAATGCTCCTGCCTCAGCTGCCCATAGTGCTGGCATTACAGACTTAGGCTACTATACCCAGCCAGAGGAAGATTCTTAACTTGCCCTCTGGACAGGCAAAGAATCTGAGGCTTTGCAAGGGAAGAACTTAACAGGGACTGCGACAGAATTAAACCTCAGCATCAGATATGTGGAGGTGTCGCCCCTGGAGCCTCTTTGGGCTGGCCTGCCCCAGGGTCCCTCACTGGGAAGGCAGAGTCAGAACTGGTCCATCATTCCTCAGAGATGCACCAAGTCCCACAAATCTGGGTCTTTTGTGTGAGGATTTTGGGTACCCCGTAGATCCCCCCATCCTGGAGCTTCTAGAGTCTGGAGACGTTAGCAAAGAGGCAATGGGCACCCCATTGGGCAGCCCACAGGTCAAGGGTGGGCTGGTTTTGCCAGCTGCCCAGTGGGGGCTCCTTCCTACTGAGTGGCAAGCACACTGGGCTTCTCTACGTGTCCTCAGCCCTCGCTGTACTTGCTGCGAAGGGGTTCATTTTCCCTTGTGTTTCCCAGTTACATAACACCAGAAGAAGAGCCTACTGTCTGAGATAGGCTTAGAGAGGCTCCCTAGGCCAGGTTTCTTTTTTCTTTTTGGTACCAGAAATCGAACTCAGGACCTTGCACTTGCCTGGCAGGTGCTGTGCCCCTGAGCTACCCTCAGCCCTAGGTCAGGTTTCTGATGGTGGCTGTGGCTGTGGCAGGTTGGACGTGGGACTCATGGTAGGAGGTAGAGCTCCTGGAGCCCTAGGAAAGTGGCCTTCCCTCCGCACTTGGCAGTCAGCCTTTCTGGGGCCTGTGTCAGACCCAACAGATCAGCCTGCTCCTTGGCAAAGAGGGACCCAGACAGAGCCTCTCCCCGGGTCCGTGCCTTCCCACCCTCCACCCCTTGAGACCCCCTGCTGTGCTGACTCCTCTCATCTGACCCAGTGCCCTGGTCCATGCTCTGCATCCACCTTACCTGCCCTGCACGCCCCTCCCCACAGGGCCTGAGAACCTAATTCCATGCACGTTGAGGATGCCCTAAGGTGGAGAGAGTACTTGTTCTAGTCCCAGCTATTATGCTCCTTTGTTGGAGGCCTGGGTCACAGAACACCACCTGTCAGGGCCTCAGCCTCCCCATCTGTGGGCCCTGGCTCCTCAGGCCACTTGGCTGGACCTGGCCAGGCTCCAAAGGCACCGCCAGCCGCAAGGAAGGGCTTTCTAAAGGTGTGGGCTACATGTCTGTCCTTTTCCTGCGCTTAAACGTGCATTTTAACAGTGACTTAATGCCCTAACCACCAGAAGAGAGCGTGGGCCCATGTTGAACTTTGATGGGCTTTGGACTCTGCCGAAGCACAGACCAAATTCCTCTCAGGGTGGAAAAACCAGGCTGGGACTAGCCCGGCAGGCTGCAGAGGAATTTAGCCTCTTGGGGTGTGGCTCTAGAAGGCACTGGGCACCTTCACCTCCATGCCTCTCAATCCACTTTTCAGCTCTTTTTGTGACTCATCAGATACTGCAACTGGGGTGGAATTTTGATGACAATCAGTTCAGCTCCCAGTTGCATAGACCATGGAACTAAGGCCCTTACAGGGCGAATACTCACACAAAAAGGCACTGGCTGGCAGAGATTGGAGCCTGGGTTGCTAATGCCCAGGACAGGGATTTCCCAGTTTACAGACCTCACAGTCACAGGCCCAGTGTCTCCAGGAGAAGCCACGCCCAAAAGCAGCCTACAAGGGTGCTAGTTGGGAGCAAGGGAGTGTTACAACATCTGCTCCCAGAGCAGGGCTCACCTGTAGCTCCTGATCCTGCAGGAGGGAGGCCTGGGTTCCTCTAGCTATGCTGGAAGGGCGGCTCCGCTGACTCTGGCGGACGCTATGGTGGCTGAGAGCTTCGGTGGAGGTGGAGATGAGCCTTCCGGATTTAGTGGAGTATTTTGCTCTCTGGTCCCTTTGAGGCTCCTCCTTCTGCTGGAATAAGAGTGACCAGAGACTCCAGGAGTCAGTGAGAGGGAAATGATGAGAAGGCCAAAACGCATCTCCAGGTCTCCATCTCCCCCAGTCCAGTATCACAGCAATGCCAGGGGCACAGGTTGTAACCCAGGCCACCACAACCCTCTTTTGGATTAAGGCCTTCCACTAGAGGAGCTTCAACTAGCAAGAGCTCTTCTTTCCTGAATTCAGTATCTATGGTGGAACAGTGAATGCCCTGGTGGTCCTTGTTGTACCACACATGCAAGTCCTCCCTGCTACTCCTCCTCGGGCCACCAGAGATTTGAAAACAGTGTCCTGGCCTAGGCCCCCCGGCCTACCTTCTTTCCCAGCTTGGCTGCCCCTGGGTCCGTCCCTCATAGCCTGGCAGCCTTCCTTCACCCTGACTCCAGGGCCGCCTGCCTTTGTAATTCCATTTAAGCCTTATAGCCTTCTTCTTTCTAAAGCTAACAAACCAAGACCCAGGCAGCTTAGCTGCTACCCTGAGTGCCGTGGTAAGTTAGCTGAGAGCTGCAACAGAGGCTAGGCTTCTGCTTGTCTACGCTGGTTGCTCAAGTTGAGGGGCAGAGGCAGACTCACCCACAAGGACTAAGCCTGTCCTAAGACCAACTTGAGTCTGCCACTTGATTATCTTTGCCAATTTACTGCCACGCAGTACCCAGTGGTCACCCCCACTTCCCACCCCATTATGTATCTCGTTGTGTATCCGTGTACCCAAGCCACCTGTGCTATTGCATTTCCTGTTCTTACCCTCACTGATAGCCTCTTCGTCGGGCCAACAGAGGAGCTTCGAGGAACTTCCTTACATAGCACTGAGTCTGCTTCCTCAATTCCCAGACTCCTTCCTGGCTCTGCACCCACCTCTTTGTTCTTCAGCTCTGTCTCCTTGGTAAAGACTGCCACTCGGGAAGTCAGCTTCTTCAGCTCCCTCTTCCAGGCCTCTGAGAGGAAGGACAAGATCCTGGGGCTTTGTCCCTCCTCCCTGGAGCACCAGGGCTGGGAGAGCAGGGAGAGTACAGTACCACACAGTAGGCTCCCCCCACCCTTCTTCCAGGTCTTCCTGCCCCGTCCTGAGTAAGCAGTGCCCATTTGTCACATGCTTATGGACACACTGAACCTGTTCTGGAGAGGTGAAGTAGATTCCACAGCCAGTTGGTCAAACTTCCCTTCCTTATGCTGGCTGCCTGGTCCCTTCCCCACCGCCCCTAGCAACATGACTTTCCTATTCCCCAATAGCAGAGCAGGTAGAGCTTGCAGGGCAGAGGGCCCATGCAGCACCTTGGCTGATGGCCTGATTGCTTGGCGCCCGAGTACACAAGTCATGAAATAGTGCAAATAGCTGTAAACCACACAATTGTTATCCAAATCATTCATTTATTCCTCCTCAACATCTCAAATCTAAGCAGGGGCATATTTCTGAGGCCTAGGACCTGGGGTGAGTGAGGTAGGCAGTAATGCGAAGATGAGGCTGACCAAGGAAATGAGGAGATAAGTGGGGTCATCTTAGGGCCCCCACCCACATACGAGTAATGACCCCTTTCCTTTTCAGGCACCCACCCAAGTAGGGCAGCTGCTGGGGACAAGTGTGAGCACTCAGGAAGAAGGGTGTGGCCAAATACTCACCAGAAGGGAGCTGGGGATTCCGATTTGACCGTGGGTCCCCAATGGGCACAGAAGTGGTGGGCATCCCCATCGGAGAGTGGGTTAAGGGTGTAAACTGAGGTAAGGATATCAGAGAGAACTCGTCCCTGACGACACAGATAGGCTTCCCACTGAGACCTATAAACAGTTAGAGGGAGGGAGGTCAGTCTGGACCACAGGAGCTCCAGGAGGCCAGAAAGAGGCTGGTGGGGGGAGGTAACCATCAGTCCTCAGCACCGAGAGGCCCTGTGATCAGTGAGACCCACCATCACCTCATCGCAGGACACTGAGGAACAGACTGAGAAAGGACTCTTTCTAGTCCTCTTAACCTCTCCGTCTTAGAGTCCCCAGGGTTCTCCAGATGCTCAGGCCAAGAACCCCAGAGGGAGTCTTGAGCCTTCTCTTTCTCATGCTCCACTTTCGATCATCAAACTATGCTGGCTCTGCCTCCTAACTATCCTTCGGAGAGGCCCATGAAGCCTTCCATGCTTGACCGTCCAACCCATAAGACAGTGGCCAGGTAACCTTGCTAAAATATCTCACTTCTGTGTTCTCAACCTTCTGATGACTCCAACTGACTCTGAGGCAGCTTGATGGTGACGGTAGTGGCCTGCGCATCCCAGCTGATCTGCTCTCTTGACTCCCTGACACCATCATCTCCTTCGTCTCTCACCCCCTTCTAGTCCAGCCACATCTTGAACTTCCTTGCTATTTCTCCAGCACAGTTGGGGTGTTCTTGCTCAGGGCCTTTGTGTTCACTGATCCATGTGCCTGGGACATTATTAGCCCAGACTTGTGTGTAGTTCACACACTTAATGTTTTGTTCAAATATCATGTTATTGCCTAGGTCTTTTATGGTCACTTTTTTCTTTCTTTTTGTGGTGCCAAGGATTGAATGCAGGATTTGTGTATGCTAGGTAAACGCTCCACTGAGCCACCCCTGCAGCCCTCATGGCCATCTTTTGGAAGTGGTAGTCTCTTGTGTGGCCTTTGTACTTGACACCTAGTCTGTTTCCCACTCTTTGCACCAGATGTCAGCTCCAGGACAGTCACAACAGTGTCCTATTCTTCACTGTTGTGTCCCCCTTCCCACTGTTGTGCCACCTTCTAGTTTGCACTCAGTAAATACTAGTGATGTATGTATGTATGGATGGATGGAAGGTTGAGTGGATGGATGGATGAAAAGCTAAGTTGATGAGTTAGAAAGCACAACTCAGTTCTAGGGCAAAAAGAGAAATCATGTAGGGGACCCTGATCCACCCTTGGAGCCTAGGCTTCACGCCTGACCCCATGTCAGACTTGGTTGGCCACTAAACAGCCCTGGGATCCTGGAGAGACCTCACACTCTCTGGACCTCAGTGCGGTGATAGGCTGGAGGGAACACATCTTTTCCAGTTCTGAAGGTCAATTAGGAATCACCCTGATAGACCTGTTCCACCCCAACCAAGTTGTAGCAGACCTGGCCCTACCTTGGATGTGGGTCACACGCTGGGGATGGGGGTGATGCCTGGAGAAGAAGGAGTGGTTGCTGAGATGTCCAAATCGGTAGGCACCAGCAATTTGGGGCCTGGGGGCCCTCAGCTCTTCTTGGATCCCCTCCAAATCCACATTGCCTGGGATCGCCGGTTCTTTCTGCAGTCTACTGTGCCCTGACTTCTTGGGTTTCAGCGTAGCTTTTGGACTGAAGGAGAAGGTTTACAGGGAAGTGATCAGAGCTTCTGTCTGGCAGCAGTGCCCACCCTGCCTCTGAGCTGTGTGCTTCTCATGGAGCCCGTTCTCAGAGACTCAGAAATCTTCCCAGATTTCGCCCCTTCCCCCACCATGGCACCCAAAACAGAGCTCTCCTAGAGTCCTTTTCCCAACGATACCATCCAGTCTGGGGGAGCCCCTGCCTTCCTAAGATGCCTTCTTGGGTTCTCCAGTTCATCTGTGAGAGCTCAGATGAAATCTCCCAGAACCCAGTTTTCTCCCAGAGAACAAATCTGGAACTAGAAAGAGAAGCTTCACACCCACCTAGTCTTCCACACACCTCAGGTGGAACAAAGGCCCCTTATATGCCCCTCCTAGGGGCAGGAACTGGCCTCAGCAAGTCCTGTCCCCAAGCCCAGTTGTTGGCAGCCCAGGGGAGCAAGCTGTTACCCTCCCCCTCAGGGTAGTCCTGGGCCAGAGCCAGAGCCAATGCAAGAGCAGGTGGGCCATCCTTTTCCATGGGTCCCTCCCAGGAGACGCACAAGTGTCAGCCAGCTGTCAGGGCTGTGACGCTGTGGGGAAGCGTTACACGCTAGCTAGGCTTCTCTGGGGACCAGTGGGTCAGGTTCCTTGTTTCCCACCTAGTCCTGAAGATGCTGAGCCTCTGCTCCTGGAGGGAGAGTAGAGGTCAGCCCAGCAAGGATCTGAAGGTCAGGCCACTCCTGCTGGGGGCTGATGGCTGTGTGGATGCCCTTCTCCTGCTGTTCCTGGCTGAAAGGGGTCCCTCTGGAGGAGAATAGGTGGGCTCTGGATTTGCTAAGCCAGAAATGCTGCTCTTAGACCCTGTGAGGGTTTCGTATACCGGGCCCCTGGATTTCCTGTTCCAGTCTGCATTCTCCTCTAGGGAATCTGGGACTTAAAGAAAAACTGTAAACCACCTTTGGAAGCCACAGTTAGGATGTCACCTTCTGAACCCCCCCTTCCCCTCAAATGCCAGTGCCAGTGCTGTGTTCCTTCTCTGACTCATGTCTTTTCCGACTCAGGGGCCCTGCCTCCAGCCTCTGCTAACTTCGCTGAGGACCCACTGGGGGCTGGGCTGGTGACAGAGGAGGGTGAAGTAAGGCTGTTCCTCCTGGACCTCCAGGCTGCTGAGCTCCCCCAAGCTGCCCGGTCCCCCACACTGTCCTGCTCCCTGCACCCTTGGTCAGCAGGTAGACTTTCAGAGCCTTACTTTTTCAGTGGATGTTCAGCCAGCTGAGTCCTCACCTCCGTTGCCATTGTAGTGTTTCTGATGGAATGAAGACCACTTAGCGGTCAGGCTGAGTAACAGGAGCTCCCATGGAATGGTGGTGGGAGCATAAACTGGGACAGACTCTTTGGGAAAAAAAGGGACAACAGCCTATAAAACTGAACAATTACCTGCTTTTTCATCCAACAATTTTTGTCTCAGCTACAGAGAAACGTGTAGATGTGTAACAGGGGCCATTGATAAGACTATTTCTATTAATATTGCCCAAAATAGCAAAACCCTGGTGACAATTCAAATGTCCAATGGCAGAGCAATGAATAAACAGGCTGTGTCCCACCCATTTTATTGCTATGAAAATCAATGAGCCACAGCTATGAGCAACGACACGAACGAACCTTGTCAGTATACAGCTAAGTCAAGGGAAGCACATTTCATGCCATATAGCATGAAACGTCTTTTTAAAAGGGAAGTTCAAAGGCAAGCAAAATAGTCATAAGCATGTGACAGAACAATAATAGCAAAAATTGTGGCTATTTCTGGAGGAAAGGCGGGCAAAGAGCACACGGGAGACGCATGGCGGGGTGATATTTCAGTTCTTGGTGTGGGTGATGCACTTCCTGGTGTTCATTATACTATTAAATGAGCTACTTAAGTGCGACAGATGATAGAAGACAGATGCTAAAACCAAGAATTATGATTAATATAAATGTAAGGACCTGCTAAATATATATAAAATATATAGCCAATACATACATGCATTGCTAGGGATGGTCTGGAAAAGGAAATCAATGTATTTTGAGAATTAATCCTCAGGGACCCCAGCAACCCCCAAAGTCAGTCTTTATAAGATTAGCATGTGAGGACTGGCCTTCTCTGAGGTCAAGGGAGAGACTTGCAGAGGCCACACAGCCAGGGACGAGAGCTCACAGCCCCTGATCTCCTCCCTAACAACAACGGGTAGAGATTCCTTTTCAGGAAACTGGCCCTCAGTGACAGTGACATAGGACATTTGAAAGCCCCAAACCCACTCATCTGTGGCAAAAGACACTTCTAGAATAGATGGTCAAATATTTTTGACCATGATGATATTGAGAAATTCATTTTTCTATCAGGACCCAATTCACATACCTACATGAGCATATAACACAGACCCAGAGCAAACATGTGACATGTACCCTGGGCCAGTATGTGCCATACTACAAGTGATGTGCACAGATGCATGTATCCTAGGTTTTGCTTCCGTTTTGTAAATGTTAGATGGCACCCATCAAATTGCTGTGGAGTCATGATTCACAAAGCTAGAGAGAGGTGAGCCCGGACCTAGCCGGTCAGGACTGACTTCTGCTAAGTGACACAGGTGGGACCACTAGGGCCACCTCTGCCCTGCCTTCTGTCCCTGGATCCCTGGACCCAAGAATCCAAGGAATCTGAAGGCTGCCACTGATTCGCCTTCACCCCTGGCCCTCGGGGCCCTCCCTGGAATCCTGGTTAGGTTCTGAGGGCTATTTTCTCCCTGGAAAGGTCCTGGACTCACTGAGGAAGGTACCCACAATACCCCTACTACCTTGAGCAGGAAGGTGAGAGGGGACTCACCAAGGAGCAATGTCCTCGGTGCTGTGGACAAGTCTGCTGCTTTGTGACTGCACTGAGCCCAATGGTTGCTAGGTTACCCCTTCCCCACAACTCCAGAACCACTCCCCAGCACCCCTCACCCTCCCGCCCATACCCCACTCCTCTTTCCCTCTCCTGGAAGTCCTTGCTGAGGACTTTCTCTTGTCCCTCCTCTACTTCCCATGCAGCACTTCCAATGGGGACCACGGGAGATGACCATCTAGTTTGGCCAGCTGTCAGCAGGCAGAGACAGTCTAGCTAAGGATGCTGTTTGTGCTGGGTCCCAGCTTTATCAGACACACCCAGCCTAACAGGGGAGGGGAGGGCTTCCCCTGGGGTCAATCCTCAGGGGATTATCTCTTAGAGGAGACCAACCACAAGGTCCAGAGTGTCCCTCCAGCCTCACTTGGTGGATCAGCTGGGCGGGAAGATTCTAGGTTTTCAGTTAGGTAGAGATTCTAAGCACGTTCTGACACCTCCTAGACATGTCACTTTGGAAGATGTCACCTGTGTACTGCCAAAAATGTCGAACATCTCCACATTTCCACATTCTGCTGCTTCCTAGCTGTGTAGCGTCAGCCAACTTACCCAGCATCGCTGAGTCTCAGTTTCCATAGCTCTGAAGTGGCGATTATGCTTCCCCTTGTGCTGTGTTAGAACTCACTAAAGTGAGTTAATCCATATTCAAGTGTTTAGTATACCCGACACCTATTACCATCTTGTCTGGTACCCCACATTATAGGGGCCCTCATCTACTTCGTGGTTTGGTCTGAAGAACAAATGAGTTAAAGGATGTGAGGCTCCTAGTCATAAGTCTGGCACATGACAGACTCTAAAAAGGATAATAATCATTGTTACTGGTAACTTGACAGAGAGAGGATTACATAGTAGGGTGGCCCCTAGTTCAGAACTACCTTGAGTAATTCACTTTATTTTCCTGAAGCACAACATGGATGCCTGTCGAATGGGGATAAGAATTATGCTTGGACCATAGAGCTGGGATGAGTTGAGAGGTTGTGAGGGGTGCACACGCAGTGTCTGTAACCTCTTGGAAGCCACCCAGTGCTGTCCTATGTGTGAGGATGCTGGCCCTCAAAACCAGCTGAGATGGATCTACTGGAGAGTCTTTATTCTCAGTCCCTCTGACTTTGTGTCAGTGTCTGGAAGATTCTAGACTGGCTAACTCCTGGGAAGCAAGCAGAGAAATGTGAAGTTAGAGGCAACCTTGAGCACTTCTAAAGTTCTTCCCCTTCCAACTTGAAAGGGATGCAAACCTGTGGTAGCCCAAGGAGAGGCCCTCTGAACTTGGCCTTCCTCCAAATGCTTCTTCAGCCACCTGGGTTGGAATGGTCCTTGTCTGTGGTCTTACTTTTCCTGGGCCTGTATCTGTAGGATTCAGGAGACGCTTTGGAAACCATTTTGGAAATCCCCTCTGCACGCTTCTGAGCATGCTGGCAACTGTAAGAACATGATATTGTGTTTGAAAGATGAGAGGCTTTCTTCCCCATGACCAGCCCTTCCTTGTGGGTTTCAGCAGTGGGGATTTCCCACAATGCTGAGACAGCTGAGACGCAAACCCACTCTCACCCTTCCAATGCGGCCTTTTAAGGCTTCCATTGGATTTAGAGCTGAACAAAGCGTCTGCATGCAGACTGTGGCATGGAAGGGGAAGGACACAGATGCTTTAAGAAATGTCTGCTGTGCTGGTTTGCAGAAGAGTCGGTTTCCTTATTTGTTGAGCTCAGAAACAGGAATGAGGTCTGTTTGCCAGGAAAGGGTGTGAGGCAGAACTTTGCCTTGATCAATGTTTCAGTTATAAAAAGAGCAATATAAACCTCATAGCACACTTCTTGTGTGCCAAGGACTGTGCTAATCCCTTCAGATACAGTATCTCATTTACTTCTATAGATGCAGAAACTGATGATCAGAGAAATCCTTAGCTAGGCGTTATAATCATACTGTCTGATCTGTGGTGTGCTCTTTTGTCTCAAATGGAAGTTTCTGAGAGAGGTAACATCTTAATTTCAATATAGTCCAATTGACTAATTATATTCTTAATAGTGGATTTTGTGTCCTATTTAAGGGCTCTTTATCCACCCAAGTTTATAAAGATATTCTCCATATTATTTTTAACCTTTCAAATTTAGACCTATGATAAACCAGGAATAGATTTCAGTTCACTGTGTAATATAAGATTAATAGATCCTTTTCCCATGGATATCCATTTGACTTAGTGCCATTATTTAAAACATTGCCCTCCTCCTGCTTCTCTATATTCTATAGTTATCGAATTTCAAGGATCTGTGTCTGGACCTCTTGTGTATCACTGCATGGATGCTACCTTAATTACTATACTTTAACTACTTCTTGATATCTAGTGGTGTAAAACTTGTAGCTTTGTGATTTAAATTTTGTTGATTTTTCTAGTTCCTATGGCTCTCCATATAAACTTTAAGTTGGAGACCACAAATTCACAGTGGCTAATTTTGCATACTTTCCCTAGGGGATAAATGGAAGCTTGGAATTATCACCCTTTTGAGATTTCACACTATCTCCTTAGAGGTGGTAGGCCATCCTCTCCCACCCACTAAGATTAAAACCAAAACCACTAAGACTAAAGACCCTCCAGGGCAAGGTCCTTCTTAGCATAGAACCTCCTCCACCCTCTTGAGTCATCTGACAATCCCCTCCTTAAATTTCCTCCTCAGGCAGTAAATGCTGAGGTTCTGGCTGCCTCCACCTTTTGTTCCTCGGGAACAGCTGATCACTTTGGATCCCCACTGTACTGCCCCTTTGCCTCTCATTTTTTTGCCATGCAAAGTGGCCCCTTGCAAAAGGTTGGGGTTCACTGCAGGGGTCCCTGATAACTTTAGAGTAATTTATCAATATCTACAAAAATTTGGGGTGGAATTTTAGTAGTAGTCAGGTCAATCTTGTATATTTATTTGAGGAGAATTGAACTCTGTACTGTGTGGAGTCTTTCAATCTGTGAGCATGGTGTGTTTTTTCATTTCTTTAGTTACAAGTGCTGGGATTTGAATTCAGAGCCTTGAAATGTTTCAGTGTTTTGAGAAGTTAAAAATGGCATTCTATGTTTTATTTTGATGGGCATTGCTGGTATATGAAAACACAATTGCTTTTTGTGCATTCAGTATCTTGCAACCTTGCTAAAGTATGCTAGAGACTCACTGAGATGTTCCATATTGATAATAATATAATCCATGAATGAGAACATTTTTTTTCTTTAGTTCCAGTCTATATGCCTTTTAGTTCCCTTTCTTGCCTTATTACACTCCCAGATTTTTTAAGAGTGTGCTGAGTGGAATGGCAGGAGTCCTATCTTTGCCTTCTTCACGATAGTGGAGAGTAAGCATTAAGTCTTAATCACTAAATAAGATAGTTGTAGGTTTCTGTAAATGTTCCACATTAAATTGAGGAAGTTCCCTTCTATTTCTATTTTCTGAGAGTTTTTGTCATGAATATGTATTGAATTTTATCTAGTACTTTTTCTGCATCAACTGATATGATCATGTGCTTTTTTTTCTTTAGCTTATTAATATCATAGATTGCATTGACTTTCAAAAACTGAACCAGACTTACAGTCCTTACAATATCTCACTTGGTCATAGTGTATCATTCCTTTAAATATTGCAGAATTATGTTTGCTAGTATTTTGTTAAAGATATTGTATTTATTATTGTCTTAGTCTGCTTTTGGTATCAGGATAATACAAAGTTTTATAAAATAAATTTGAAAGTCTCTTTCTTCTTTCATTTTCTGGAAGACATTATATAAAATTAGTGCAAATTCTTTTTAAAATATTTGCTAGACTTCTCCATTGAAATCGTCTGACCTGGAGATATATAGTTTGGGAATTTAAAAAATTATAATTCAATTTCTTAATAGTTACACTGCTATTGTAACAAAAAATTTTTCAGCATTGGGAATTGAACCCAGGACCTTAGCAAATTCTGAGACAGAGTCTTGCTAAGTTACCTTTGCTAAACTCAAACTTGTAATCTTCCTGAGTTAGTCTCTCAGGGTGTTGGGATTACAGGTGTGTGCCATAATAACTGGCTTCTGCTCCATACTGGTGAGTTATAAAAATTGGTGTTTCTCAAGGAGGTGATCCATTTCTCCTGAATTGTCAAGTTTACTTCTATAAGGCTGCTTGTGCTATTTCCTTACTATTGTGAGAGTTGACCCCCCTGCTATAACCCCCTCCCCAGAGTGGGGAATGAAAGGGTTAACTCCCTAACTCCCCAGAGCGGGGAATAAAAGGGTTAACTCCCTAACTCCCCAGAGCTATCAGAGCAGAGCAGAAAGAAATGCCTAACTCCCCAGAGCTATCAGAGCAGAGAAAAAAAAAAAAGAAAAAATGCACCTGCAAGGTTGTTCTGTCTCAACGAGATAAGTAAGACAAGTAACTGTTCTGTTCTGGGCACATAGTGACTGGGCTAGGACCCCCAGTCTCCATGGTTACTCAACCCCAAACCCCTCCAATCAACTTCTGCCAAGTCCTATCCTGCTCAAAATTAACCAATACAATCTGCTTCTGTAAATTTGCTTGCCTCCCTGCGCCCTTAAAAACCCTACACAATTCCCCTTCGGAGCCCTCCGCACTTGTTTGCCTGGGGGACCCCATGCGCATGGAAATAAACTTTTTTCCCTCACCAAGAATTGAGTCCTTGGGGTTTCTTTCCCTGCGGCGTCGGCCCTAACATCTTGGAGGCCCCAGCGAGATAACACGTCTCACGGGAGGTGACCTCAACGGCTCTGCGGTGGGTTAAAAAGTAAATGGCAGACTTTCTGCTCGTCTGAGTGGCCCACATTCTCCGTGGGTTGGCCACCGGAGGGGACTTTCCACCTTCCCCTCATCTTAGCAGTTAAGAACATCATCTTCTGCCCTGGACGAGAGGGCCACCCCGACCGGATCGCCTACATCTTGGTATGACAGGACCTCAGGGAGGAGCCCCCACCGTGGGTAAAACCCTTCCTTCCTCCGCCCTCTCCTTGGTTGCCTGTTTAAACTTGTTACTAACTTAGGGGCTTCTTGCCCATTTCTGTTGTAGGATCCATATGGCTTATTAGATTAAAGGTTCATGATAAAAAAATTATTTCCTTTAGCTGACCAAACTGTACAAAAAGCTCCCTTTGTTTGTGTCTTTAATGTTGTGGCGCCTTGTTTAATATATAAGACTTCAATTGATTGCTTGCAACCTCAGCATACCTTTTAAAAGGAGTATTTTTTCCTCTCTGGTAAAAATGTAAACATGTGCACATATATATGTATATCTATGGTTATTAAAAATCATATCAACTTTACCAAGTAAAAACCAGAGGTAGTATATTTGAGCCAGTTAAAAGGTTACAGTTTTGTTTTTAAAATACAACATTTTTATGTGGTAAAAAAACATAAAATAATTAAATATGATTTAGACTACTAGAAGGTGACTTCAAGGGTTCTGTTGTGAGTTTTAATGTTGTCTGAGAAACGAGAAAAAAGGTAATTGACTGGTAATAGTAAAAAGAGGGACAAAGAGAGTGGTCTTCAAGTAAAGGTGTCTGGCTATGCCAGAATATTAAAAAAGATTAAAGCTTAGTTTGAGAGATATTATTGTAAGTTGTAGAAGACTCAAGAGGATGTAAATTTTATTTGTCTTGTATTTGTCTTGATTTATAGTACTACAAATAACAGGTTTGACAAAAAGTAAATGTGTTCAGAATTTGACAGTATTAGATCAGTTTTGATAAAAGTATACATAAGATTGTACTTTGCTGCAAAATGTTTCCATTAAAATGAGATTATAGGTGATACTACAAATAAGATACAAGTTCTTACATGTACTGTGAACATCTGGGAGATTATGCAGCACAATTTTGTTACCTATAAAAAAGCCCTTTTTGTTAAGAATATAATTTTAGTAAAATGATGGCCTGTCACGTGACACCCTTAGACAAAAAGCAGTGTGCCATCCAGATGAAGCCGGCTCTCTGATCCGGAATGCCAAAACCATGTTCTCCTTTTGTGCTACCCTGACTGGACATCCAGAGGTAAGGAGGTTTCCCAGTATCGCCAGTTGTTCTCTTTGTAACTCAGTCGGCCCCACATGTTAGACAAAAATTACAAAGGTTTGAGAGGTTTAAGAAAATGCCCCTCAGCCAGTTAATAAAGATAGCACAAAAAGGTCTTTAAAAACTAAAAAATTTACAAAAAGATAGCCAAGGTGTTATAAAAAAAAAAAAAACCTTTAAAAAACAGACGAGAGTTTCTAGGGACAATTGGATACTGTAGGCTAAATTTTACTAAAATGCTTGCCTCTATATGACTCTCATAAGGGAGAAACTCAAAATTCGCTGAACTGGACTGATAAATGTAAACAGGCCTTCCAACAGCTCAAGCAGGCCTTGACAGAGGCCCCAGCCCTGGGACTCCCTGACATTACCAAGCCTTTCACCTTGTTCATAGATAAACTCAGGGACATTGCCAAAGGAGTCCTAACTCAGGACATTGGCCCTTAAAAGAGGCCTATAGCCTACCTCTCCAAAAGACTTAATCCAATAACAGGAGTATGGCCCCCTGCCTTAAAATACTAGCTACTGTGACAATGTTACTTAAGGAAACAAAAAAACACGCTTTAGGCAAGTGATTTCTGTGGTAACCTCTCACAGTTTAGAGACTCTTATCAAAACCCCTCCTAAAAAAAGGCTCTCCAATGCCAGAATTCTACTGTCAAGCCCTGCTTCTAGACCCAGAGTCAGTGATATTCAAGACTTCTTCAGCTTTAAACCCAGCCACCCTTATGCCTGATGATGACCTGGAGGAACAAAGGACACCTCTCCATGAGTGTGCTGACATCCTCAAACTACAGCGGAACCTACAGGCTGATCTTACTGACCAGCTTTTGAAAAATGCCGACAACTGTTCGATGAAAGCAGCTTCATCCAAAACGGCAGAGACAGATGAGTGGCCGGGACAGCAGTGACCACCAAAAAGGAGGTACTCTGGGTTAAAGGGTTAGAGCCTGGCACCTCTGCCCAAAAGGCGGAGCTCATTGCTTTGACTGATGTACTAAAACTAGCCACAAAAAAGAGGGTAAACATCTATACTGATAGTAAATATGCTTTTGCTACTATACATATACATAGAGCCATCTATTAAGAGCGAGGTCTCTTAACCTTGGCCAGAGCTAAGATTAAAAAAAAAAAAAAAAAAAGAGGGCTCCACAAATCCTAAATTTGCTGACAGCAGTCTGGCTGTCAGCAGATTACTGCTATTCACCTGAGGAAACAATTTGGCAGATCAGGCCGCTAAAAGAGTAACAATCACATGAGAGAGGCCAGCCAAAAAAGTAACTGCTCTGATGCGAGTCCCCCCGACCTTATCAGAACCAGTCTACACAAAAAAAGACTACATTGGTTGTTGTGAGCCATCTAACGGATTCCAGTCCCTGTGACTAAAAGACAAGTACAAAATTTCTAAGAGCCACAGGACTGATCCAGAGTTTGGGACCCTGGCAGAGGCCTGTTGTCTACCTTTCCAAGAGACTTGGTTCTGTGGCAACCAGATGGCCACCCTGTCTGCGGTGATTTCTTCAATGGCCCCCTCATAAAGGAGGCTTAAAAATTGACTTTTGGACACAAACTCTTAATTGTTTCCTCCTATTCACTGGAGACTCTCATCAAGGTCCCACCAGACTGATGGATGTCTAATTCCTGAGCCATACATTATCAGGCACTATTTCTGAAAACAACAGCTTCAAACTCGGCTACTTTGCTGCCTGAGGATGACCCCTCGTTGCCTCATTGATCACCTCACAGAACATCGACCTTATCTAGTTGATAAGCTACTGTCTACAGTTCCATCCTACTTCTCTGATGAAAACAGTTATGTCTCTCAAGAGCCCATTTGCACTTAAAAAGACCAACATCTGGCAGCTCAGCTTCCAAGAGATTCCGGGGGCTAATATCAAGCTAGCCCAGTCTGTGAGCTTCAGATGCCCTCAGTGCCAATTGATAAATCTAAAAGTACTGCAACAAATAAAAACCACTGGTTATCGTGGGACTATGCCTAAAAACACTAAAAAATAGATTTTACAAAAATAAAAAGCCTAAACTTCAAAAATATAAGTGTTTTCTACTTAGTCTGAGTCAGCTCTGATAACAGTTTCTCTGATTTGGTCTCCCTTTTTATCCGTGGGGTCCAACAATGGCCTGGCTTTTATAGCCTAATAACTCAAATTAACCTAAGCTTTACAGATCAATTAAAAAAACTCGATTGGGCTTACCAGCCTCAGAGTTCAAAAAAGGTAAAAAGATAAGTTAAATTTTAAAGACTATAATTACTAATGGCCTTAAAAACTGGCGAAAACTGGGTGAGTCTCTTTTCCTTCTGCCCCTTTGCATGCGTGATACACCCCCTATGTTGCAGATATTTCCTCTTTTGAGGTTTTATGTGAGGTTTCTAAAAATTAGCTAATTTAACTAATCAAGATCTTATTAAGTCTCCCCAGCCTTTTCAGCTAGCTGTGACTTCCATCCACTGGTTACTTCGCTGCTGCCCACTACAGCTAAAGAGCCTAGACACCTGGACAAGCGACCTCACCGTAAATCTCTTGAGAGCGACCTCACCGTAAATCTCTTAAGCCACAATAGATTGTCAAAATAGCTAAAAGCCTGCCTAAATTCAACGTTCCCAATGCAGACAAGTCCCAACTTCAAAAGACCGTCAGCCTACAAATAAGTAAACTGTCATTTCTTCCAAAGACACTTTAAAGCTTAAGATTGTCTAATATAACTGATAATTTTGTGTTCTCCTCCTTTATAGAGACCCCAAGGAGGCCTCTGTCTGACTTAAAAATTGTTACTTATATGATAAAACAGAGTAAATTTAAATGTTGGTTTTCTTTCTCCTTTTGGTTAACAGCTTTAATGACAGCTACAAGACCTTTGTTAATCCTCCTACTGGGCCTTATGTTGTAAACAAGTTGATAAACTATGTCAACGTTCTTAAAAGCTTGTGATTTTAAAGACACATACAAGGTTATAAACAGATGCAATAAAAAAGCTAAGAGAAAAAATTAAATCTCAAGAGCCCCCTTCAAATAAAGCCAAAATGTTCTCCTTCTGGAAATCAATCCTGCCCTATATTCTCTCTTTACTGAGACCCCTGGCTGGATTCATTATAGTCATGGCTATAGCCCCTTACCTCATTAACCGAGTAACCCAGTTTGTGAGGGCTCAGATCTCTCAAGTAAAGGTTATGATGCTACGTCAACAGTATGACCCCTTACCAATACAGGACCTTTAAGATTAAAAGTCATCAAAAAAGAAAAGGGGGGAATGTGAGAGTTGACCCCCCTGCTATAACCCCCTCCCCAGAGCGGGGAATGAAAGGGTTAACTCCCTAACTCCCCAGAGTGGGGAATAAAAGGGTTAACTCCCTAACTCCCCAGAGCTATCAGAGCAGAGCAGAAAGAAATGCCTAACTCCCCAGAGCTATCAGAGCAGAGAAAAAAAAAAAAAAAAGAAAAAATGCACCTGCAAGGTTGTTCTGTCTCAACGAGATAAGTAAGACAAGTAACTGTTCTGTTCTGGGCACATAGTGACTGGGCTAGGACCCCCAGTCTCCATGGTTACTCAACCCCAAACCCCTCCAATCAACTTCTGCCAAGTCCTATCCTGCTCAAAATTAACCAATACAATCTGCTTCTGTAAATTCACTTGCCTCCCTGCGCCCTTAAAAACCCTACACAATTCCCCTTCGGAGCCCTCCGCACTTGTTTGCCTGGGGGACCCCATGCGCATGGAAATAAACTTTTTTCCCTCACCAAGAATTGAGTCCTTGGGGTCTCTTTCCCTGCGGCGTCGGCCCTAACACTATCTTTTTTTTTTTTTTTTTTTTGCTCTCTGTAGAATCAGCAATGATATTCCCTATTTCATTCCCAGTATTGTTGATTTACCATTTCTTCTTTTTCTTTCTTTGTCAAGTTCTGGATGGAGATTTCTATCAATTTTATTGGCTTTTTCAAAGAACTAGTTCTTTGTTTTATTAATTTCTTTCTGCTTTCAATTTCATTGTTTTCTATTTTTAATCTTCATTTCCCCTTTTTTCTGCTTTCTTTGAGATTTCTATTTGTTTTGCTATTTTCTAGGTCCTTGATATAAGTGCTTAAATTTTTGACTTGCTATTTTTCATTTTTTTCCAATATATGGATTTGTACATTTCACTTTCTAAATTTCCCTTCTACTGTTGCTTAGTAGCATCTCACAAACTTTCACAGAGTATATCTTCATTTTTGTTCAGTTCAAGTATTTTAAAAATTTCTCTTAACACCTCGCTTCAATCCATAGATTGTTTAGAAGTGTGGTAATTTAGTTTCCAAATATTTGAAGATTTCCCTTTTATTCTGCTTTTGTTTCTGGCTTGCTTCCACTGTGGTTGGAAAACACATTTTATATTACTTTAATTCTTTTAATTTGTTGAGGTTTGTTGTATATATTGGAAAATATGCTATGAACCCTTGGGAAAAATGTATATATTCTGTCATTGTTGGGAAACGTTTTCTATAAGTGTTAGATACTGTTATTTGATGTTATTGAGTTCTTACACATTCCTGTTAATTTTCTGGTTAGTTCTATCAATTGTTGAAAGAAATTTAAAGATTCCAACCACAGTTGTGAATATTTCTATTTCTTTTTTGTGATTTTTTTCTTTGCCTATTTTATGACTCTTGTTTGGTACACATTCATTGCTATACGATGTTCCCTCTCTGGTAATTTTCTTTGCTTTGAAGTTTACTATATCTGATATTAATATAGCCATTTTCTCCTTTTAATTCATATTTATATGATTTTTTCCCACCTTCTTACTTTCAACCTGCCTATGTTTTTCCTTGTATTTACAGAAATTTCTTTAGCCATTCTTTTGGAGTAGTCTGCTGATCTCAGATCTTCTTGGTCTTCCATCTCTTGAGAATTCCTTGATTTTCCCTTTATTCTTGCAAAAACATTTTTATCCAGGTTTAGAATTATGGATTAACAGTTTATTCTCCCATAATCTAGAAAATATTAGATCATTTCCATCTAATCTTCATGATTTTTTCATAAGAAATACGTTATCAATTTCGTTATTCTCCCCTTTTGGGTGAGAACTTTTTCTTTGGCTATTCTCTAGGTTTTTGTTATTGTCTTTAGTTACCAGAAACTTAAATGTGTCTTGATGTGGATTTCTTAGGATTTGCCTTAATTAATTTTCTTTCATTGTTGGAACAAAATACCTGACACCCAAAATTATGGAAGGAAAGGTTTGTTTAACTTAAAGTTTGTGAAAGTTTCAGTCGGCTCTGATGCAAGGTGGCATAGCACAGGTGCAACACTTCCAGGCAGCAGAAGACAGCCAAGCAACAGGGCAGAACTGGGGAGAACAAGCCTCTTTTTCTCCCTTGTATTGTAAGCAGGCTACGCTCCTCTGGGGGGTGCAGTACTCACACCATCTCTGTGCCCTCCTGTTGCACAGGCTGAGGCTGCTTAGGAAGTGAGGACCCTGGCCCCCTGCTCAATCACTTAGTTAAACGTTAGACTTTCTCAGAGTCACACAATGGACAATATCTTAGAGAGGTAACAGCATGTCCTTTACTTATCCAGGATGGAGAGTTGTTGAGTTACTTAGTAAAGCTTTTAGCCTTCCAAAGTTGACAGTTTGTCAACCATAACAGGATTCATTCTGGTTGATTTGCTTATCTTGTTGGATCTGTAGGTTTATGTGTCTTCCCAAATGTGGAAAAATTTTAGTCATTAGCATGTGATTTTTCAGCCCTGCTCTCTTTGTTTTATAGTTTTTGGATATCTTTAACACAAATATTATATTGTTTGTTTGTTATGGTTTCATAGAGGCTGCTTATTTTTTTCTTTTTTGGGGGGTCTAGATTCCGGATAATTTCTATCGTTCTATGTTGTAGTTAAATAATTGTTTCCTCTGATTCCTCCAGTCTGCTCTTCAGTCCATCTACTGACCTTTTTATTTAAGTTATTATATCTTTCGCTCCTAAAATTTCCATTGCATTCTTTTTATCTTCTGGATGCATTTTTCTCTTGACCCAGAAAGAATTAAAAGGTAAAGAGTCAAAAGAGGATTGAACAAAAACATTTTATTATAGAGCGAAAGAAGAAAGCAACATTTATTATCAAATGAAAGCAAACAGCCTCCCAGGCAAATGTACCTGGGAGAGGATCAGAATGCTTACCAAATAGACTCTTTGTGTAGAGGTTTTTTTACACACACAAAATGACTGTCTTAGCCAAGTTGAGATCAACCTATGGGGTTACAAGCAGGAAAGTTTGGCTTATGTGAGCCTATGGTATGTAGCAGGCATACTTCTGCAAGTACCATTCATTGTAACTTTAAACAGAACAAAGACTTTTTTTAAAGAGAGGTGTGAATATTTCATTTCTAGGCAAGAAAATACAATGCCAGTGTAATGAGGTCTTTGTTGAGACGCTGGTGCTCGTCCCAGCCCTTTACTGAACCATTCTGACTCCCCCTTTGGCTGACGTTTACCCTGGCTCGGGTCAGAACACTTCTCACGCTTCCCTTATGGGTCAGTGTCACCCTCAGAAATCATCTCATCTTCTCCCCACAGGATCCTGCTCACCCCCAACATCACGTTTTACAGAAACTGATTGTTTAGGTTACTGTTGGCTACCACCTCTGGGGTTAGAAAAACGATACCCACGCCTTAGAAAATGAAAACTAAGCCCAACCACACCTGCAGAGGGCTTGTGGTTCATTCTCTCCAAATTTCTTGTTATTTTTCTACTTCATGTGCTCCTTGATTATGTTCTGTATCTGATGGTGGAGAAGGGACACAGATCTTTTGCTATCTCTTGGTCTCACTTTCTATTACTTTTCTGAAGTTGTCTATTTTTATCTTTCACTGATATTCTTCTCATTGAAGTTTTTTTGTTTTTAAAATCATGGCTGTTATCAAATACTGCATCTCTGTCATTTTAGTGTTGGTGTATATTATTGTTTTTTTCTGAGGTATTTTTCCATACTATATATGTTTTCTATTTCACTTGTATAAAGACTATATAATGTTTCTATGAGCTATAGTGATACTTTCTTTTTTGGGTCAAATTTTCCCTATATACATGGATACAGATACAGATATAGATATATAGATATAGCTCCTTGATCCTGCCAGAATTTTGGTTTTTCCAAAGAACCAATGTCTTGGTTACTTTTCTTGTTGCTAAGACAAAATACCCAATAGCCAAAGTTAAGGAAGGAAAGGTTTATTTAGTTTACAGTTTGTAGACATTTCAGTCCAGAATCAGCTAGCTCCAAGGTAGGGTGGTGTGGCAGAGGGGCAACAATTTGTGGTGGTGGAAGCCAACAGAAGCAATAAGAGCAAAGGCGTGAAAGAAGCCTCTTTCTGCTCCTTTTATCTTACCCAGACTGCTGGGATTAGGGCTGTGCCGATTCAGTCAGCGGAGTAATCCCGGCACTCTTAATCCCAGCATTGAACCATGAATCAATCACAAGCTCTAGATTCAGCTACCTCTGTAAAAGCTTGCCCTCCATGACTGCACAGGGCTTTGAGGGACATCTAGATACAACCCATAGCACCAAGTTTGTGTTTTACTGTTCCTCTTAGTTGTTATAATGCTTTTAGTTTCCTTGGATTTAATTTGCTGTCCTTTTTATAGTTTCTTGGGATGGACATTTAATTCATTAATTTTTCATTTCTTTCTTCTCAAATATATTTCTAGATCCTAATAGCGTATCCTGTCTATCTGTGAAGTTTATAGACATGCTACCTTATTACAGCTTTAATTTTAATTTTTAAAAATGAGTGTACCTGGGGCTGGGGATTTAGCTCAGCGGCATAAGCGCCTGCCTTGCAAGCAGGCAGTCGTGGGTTCGATCCCTGGTACCGATAAAACGGAAAAAGACAAAAAAAAAAAAAAAAATGAGTGTAACTGAGCATTCTTCACATTTTGTGACCTTTGTTCACATCTTTTGCCCAGTTTCCTGGTGGTTCATGTCCTTCCATGAATATATAGATTTATATATTAGAGAGGTTATTCCTTTATATTATGAATAATGAAATTTTTCTTCCTGGTTTGTTGACTTTTTTCTTATTTTGCTGATGCAATGAACTTACATTTTAGATTCTTCTCCTGCTAAGCTGATGCTATAGTAGAAAGTTACTAACCTACCTTTTGAGCTCAGAGAGTGGATAGCTCATTCCAACTCATTGTGCTTATTTGGGCTTTCATTTAACCTCATGAAGAGCTCAATGGAGCAGAGATCAGGAACATGGGCTCTAGAGACACTCACGGTGCCATTCTCTATCTACATGAAAATAGGTAAAAGTTGACAACTTCTAGGCCTCAGTTTCTTATTTGTGAAATATGGATGATAATTCTGCTGACCTTGTAGGGGTGTTGATTGACTAAGCTAATTGTGTGATTACCTAGCACACAATAAAGGGTTTCTTCATGGTATTTGTTTTGTATTATTGTTTATTCAAATAAAACAAATATTTCACAAGTGGCTACAGCATACCCCATAAGTGTATAAGAGAAAATGCTGTGACCACATTCCCCTTATTCACCTGCTGTGTCTGTTCTGGTTTGAACTGGATTGTGGCCAGCACCACAGGGTGCTTTGATGAGGGGGGACTG